AATTATTATCTTTCAGACCTGTTTCTGCTATGGATAGTGCCAAGACAGTGACTCGCACTCTACTCCTCCTGTTGGGTCTCTGTGTTTGCAGTACCTCAGGCCTCCAACAGTCTGCTCCAAGGATACGCCTGTCTTTCAAAGGTGAGTCACTTGACCAGAACATTTAGTGAACTTTTCAGCAATCTCAGAAAGTCTTGTGGTTTACATGCACACAATCACGTGCAGGCACGCACACATGCACATACACACACGCAATCACACAAATACACACACACACATACACACACACATACATATGTTTCCTCTTTTATACATATGCAAAAAGCTTATATCCTGCCTACTGGCAAACAGTTCATGAGAGAAAACAAAAGGTGGATGTTGCCATTGAGTGGGTGGTGGGGGTGGTGGTCTCTAGTGCCCTTCATAACAGTTGAGCCCACTCCCTAAGCCCTCATTGCGATAGTACAACATTTTTATTTGATATATGTTAATGATTCAATGACAACATTTAACTTTAGAGATGAGAAAGATTTCCTCCAAAATCGGTTATTCGATCGGCTAGACTAGTGTGAACTGCTTGGTGAAACTGTACTGGGTGAATACAGGTTAGGGCATTGTGTTTGTGGGGTCATTTCTGTAAGAGTTAGGGATATTCCCACGTTGCCTCCTCCGAGCCGTCATTAGCTGTAATTGTATAGTATAGGATTCCAAATACCTGGATGAAGGCTTTGATCAAAATAATACTGAAAGATTACAGTGATTACCCCATGCACGCTGTCATCACTCCTCGGCTCACAAACGTGCGAACATACACACCTTTGATTTCAATACAAGATGTACTGAAGGGTGACTCACCTGAAATGCTTGTAAATAAGAATTAACAGTAAGATTCAGGCACGGGGAAAATCACTACTGTTCTGATATACCACAACATCAGGACTGACGTGTTGGGAGCAGGTTGAGTCCCTCTCCTTCAGAATTATAGGTCTGGTCTGAGAACCAGAACTGTTAGGTTCTCTATTAGAAAGCAATTGGGTTTTGCATAGTAGCGATTATGCCAATACTGACAAGGCTGAGAATTTTTTTGATTTTAGTACTTTAGAATATAATAACTCATGTTTGAAGTATGTGGCGCTGAAATAAGGAAGAAAATAGCATGTACAGTACACTGTGAGTACACTGTGAGTACACTGTGAGTACACTGTGAGTACACTTTAGAGTATTATAACAAAGTTAAATAGGTCTGTCGCCTGACTGGCCTCACAGCTGAGCCTTCTGATGAAAACTACCCCATTGAGTGTATAAGCTATTTGCTGAATGAGATTAGGGTTAAAGGAAAATACCACTCAAAAACTATCTTTTGGTATTTGTTTAATTAGTCCACTGTTGAAACAGTCCCAAAATGTTTTGCACGTCATCAATCAAGTTTTCAAGACATAGAACTTTCAAAATACAAAAAGTGTCACCATATGGTGCGTTTTGGTAATGAAACAAATACCAAAAAATACAAAACGTTTTTGAGTGGTATTTTCTTAAGGGTCAAGGGCCGTATTCATGAAACGTCTTAGAATAGTACTGCTGATCCAGAATTGGTTTTCCTTTTAAATCATAATGAATAGATCAGCACTCCTACTCTGAGATGCTTTGTGAATGCAGGTCCAGATCAGCAAAGTATTGTGTTTTCATTCAAGCTACAACATTAGGCCCCTTACCATAAAACTTCAATTAAACGCAGTCTCAAATAGCTGCTTGTCCCTTTTAAATAAATGCCTGTTTCAAATAAACGCTGTGTCTAAAGGAATTATTACCATGAATTACCATGAATTATTTATGGGTTTAGTGTTTGATTTGTTACATTAAATAATTAAGTAATCGCCAGTAAGAAACTGCTAGCCTTTGGCTACTAACTGCTGAGAACTGCTAGCTAACTGGCAACCACAAAAACAGTCAACAACTTCGGGAGTACAGACCCCCAGAAATAGTCTGATTGCCCTCTAGTGGCGAAAGTAATAACTGCCGAAAATGAACAGTGAAAGAGGAGAATAATTATTCTGTCAAGAAAACAAAAACAAATTTGAAGTAGAGGCATACTAAGACAAAATAAACTTGAAATAGTGTGTAAATGATAACACATTAGTGCAGGAAATTAAGACTGATTAAAATGCTGGAAGGGAATGCTGGAATAAAATAAATGAGCAAAGGCTATGTGCATTAAGGAAATAGAAGCCTGGCTCAAATAGCGTGTCTCTAATAAGCGCCTGTTTTGTTCAGGGATTTAGGCAAATAAACTCCTGGGGTATTAATTGAAGTTTTACGGTAGTTCAGGTACATATAAGCTTAGTTGGTTGCAATGTGATGTGGTAGAGTTTGTCACAGAAGTTGAGCCCAAACACCAGTGTTTGCATAATGGTCGCTAATAGTAAGGGTAAGCCTGAACTGGTGGTGAACCAACCAAATGGTATTATATTAGATTGCTATCATACTGGATTGTATTGGATTGCTGTGGATGATATTACATTTCTTGTTTCTTGTAACTGTCTCTCACCCATTTCCATCATACACAGAGTGGTGTTGGTTTCACAATGAATGCAACCACTGTGTAAAAATCTCACTGATATATTTTGTCAGTCAAATCCGTGTAAAGTTCTCACTGATATCGTTTGTCAGTCAAATCCACCCACTCATCCACTCACCCCTAGAACCCAATCATCTCCTCCTAATTTCCAAGAATAGGTGGAAAATTGGGATTTGCTCCCCTGCTCTGTGTTTTCTGACATTCCAAAGATTGATTGTTCATTGTTTGCAACAGGGACTCTCTTTGTTCCATAAGGCGCCTGTGGAGGAGGGTTTTTTAGGGAGGGGGGCATGAGACTCCCTCCCATGGACGTGATTTAGAGACTGGGACTGGGACTGGGACTGGGTGAGTGGGGCAGGAGGAGAGGAGGACCACTGGAAAGATGCCGGATCAAGATCGTGTTTCCTGGTTGATGGGAACTGTGTCTGAGGAAGGGACAAAAAAAAGTTATTCCATTGACCTAGGACAGGGTGTCAAACTCATTCCATGGTCATAGTGTCTGCTGTATTTTGGTTTTTCTTTTTAATTAAAATCTAGACAACCAGGTGAGGGAAGTTCCATACTAATCAGTGACCTTAATTTATTAATTAAGTACAAGGGAGGAGCGAAACCCCGCAGACACTCGGCCCTGAGTTTGACATGTGTGACCTAGAATGCCAGGTAGAAATATAGCCAGAGAAATATAGATTTTAGGTTGTCTTCTGCATTATGGAGGCAATGGTTTAAAGCCTCATTTTGACTTATTTTACACTTTAATATGGTCAGATCGGGACATTTGTCTCAGGTCTTTCATGTCTGGACCTGGTTTACCTGAATCAAATGAGGTATGATGATACATTAAGTGTTTTCTATCAGATTGTGCCAACACATTGTTATGGCAAAGAGGATGGGCGCAGCCAGGCACGGTGTCAGGATCCGGGGTTATGTTGTTGTTGGCATGTTGCTAGTTTTAGCCTGTGCTGTCCACTTTGCTCCAGTGGACGAATCAGATGGAGGTTTGCCAGAGAGGCTTGTTATCCTATGTTTACCTCGGAGGAACAGAACCGGACCTTGCCCCACCTTTTAAGAACCATCCCGTGTCAGCCAGGAGCAGATCCGATTGCGCAGCAACTTATTTTAGCAGCACATTGACTGCATCCTGTTAACAGTATTCAGACAAACAGTCACCCCAAAGGAAGACGGCAGAGCACTTTGATGTAAACACAGATGTCCTTACTCCGGCCAGGCTAAAACAGTATGTGCACTTTATGCTGATGTTTGTTCACAAACCTTTGTCAAATGCCATGGGACATTTATCATATGTCCCACATGGACAAACTGAGTGATTTTGTACAGATTACACATCTGTGTTTCTACGGTACTTATTAAATACATCATAGTACATACAAGTTTAAAAGCTATTGTACATAGGTCCGTTTTATTTAACCTTTATTTATCCATTAAGGTCAATATACTTTATTTTACAAGGGAGACCTGGCCAAGAGGGCAGCTCCAGTAAAAATAGTAATTATGATGACCAGATACGAGGAGACGTGACGTCTCTTGTCTCTGAATTAATGGGTGTAAAACTCACTCATGGTGCTTTTCCATTGAGACTTACCCTCACACCAGTGTTTTATGTTAATGTAAGCTCTAGTGTTATTGTGTTTCCATCAGGAGTGTGACACAAAAGATTTGTGGCGAGCAGAATCAACAACCTCTGCATCATTCAAGATTGTGTGAAAAGGTTTTAATGTTCAGTTGGTCATTATTATGTAAATGCCAGCTGCCTTGGCTCCAAGTCAGAGCAGGACCGCCAGAGCCATGGCTCAGTGCGACATGGGTGCCGTTCCGCATAGATGGAAACAGAAAAGTCTGAGCCTTTTGGGTAAAACACTCGGGTGGAAGAGAGAGACGGAACACTCCGGGGAAATGCGCCATCAGAGAGTGGGTCACAGAACAGACCTGGTTTAAAGGGTTTACTCAGAGTTCCTGTTACCGTGTGTCCTCAGAGACCTGCATTAGCATCCATAAAGTTGCACAGTACATTCAGTCAATGCCACAAACTCAGTCAGAAGCTTGCAACACATGAAATATTGAATTCTTAAAAGCCTCTGGAATACGTCCTGAGATAAGTTACATATTTAGTCATTCACACATTTTCTCTTACTCTGAGGATGGTGTTAGTCTATGTTCTGTAAGTGCTGCTGAGAGTGAGAAATGAAGCACTTGTAGTCTTTATCAGGGAAACTGCATGGGACAGATTCAAGGCAATAATCAGAAATAACTCATGGCTCCCCCTGCTGGATATTAAGATTTTACCATTCTCATCTGGTACAGAACTTATTTTGCATATGATTTACACTAACGTTGTGTCCCTGTGTGCGTGCGTGTGTCTATGCATATGTGTGCATCCATGCGTGTGTGTCTGTGTGTCTATGCGTGTGTGGGTGGGTCTCTCTCCTCCCAAGAGTTGTTGGACACCAGAGCAGCCCGTCCCTTCTCCTTCTCCTTTAACACCAGTGACTACCGCATCCTGCTGATGGACCAGGACCAGGGCCGTCTCTACCTGGGCAGCCGGGAGTACCTGGTGGCCCTGGACATGCACAACGTCAACAAGGAGCCACTCATAGTAAGAACACGCATAACCACAACTCCCTCAAAAAGGCCAATGAGACAGGAGGAATCTTGAGGGGATTCTTTCCTGTGTATGCATAGCTTCATGACAGTTTAATGTGGTAGTACAATGTGGTAGTACAATGTGGTAGTAAAAGACCTCAAGTAAAATGATCCTTTAATGTGTTTGGTATCATTTGTCCCTGACAGATCCATTGGCCAGCATCTGACAAAAGAAGAGGGGAATGTCGGATGACAGGAAAAGGAGGACAGGTGAGAATGCCTTGTCTTTGTAAAAGAACCCTGGCCCCTTTACTTTACAGTATTAACTAATGATGTCCCACTTTCATGGGTCTTATTTCACAGCTTTGAAAGCGATAGCCTTGAGAATTTTCATACGGCAACAATTGATAGCATTCCCATGTCTGTGTACACACACCAGGGTGAGTGTGCAAACTTTGTGCGTATGATAGAGCCATGGAACCGCACCCATCTGTACACCTGTGGGACTGGAGCCTACCAACCCATCTGCACCTTCATCAACAGAGGCTGGAAGGCAGAGGTGAGAGGTTCAATATGCCCAAATTCATTCTAAAAGACAATTAACTGCAGCATATCTGTGGATATTTACGGCCAGCAGCTCGGATTACTAAAAACTGTAGTACTCAAAACTAGGGCTCAGATATTAGCTATTTTTCCCTATACATTTTTGCCATTTCAATACATTTGATCCGTATATGGTCTTTCTGGTCTCTCTCTTTCCAGGACTATGTGTTCAGGCTAGTTCCTGGATTTACGGAATCAGGGAAGGGCAAATGTTCCTACGACCCTTCCCAGGAGAACATTGCTGCTCTTATCAGTAAGCTTCACCTCACTTGTGCATACACTTAGACTGCCCAAAATTGAAAACAACAGGTCCTCCCACTTTCACTGTTTACTAACCTCTCCTCTCCATCTCTTTCTCTTCCTCCTCTCTCCTCCTCTGCAGATGGGAATCTGTATGCGGGGGTCCATGTAGACTTCATGGGGACAGATGCAGCCCTCTTTAGGACCATGGGGGGTAGAACAGCAGTCAGGACGGAGCAGTATGACTCCAAGTGGCTCAATGGTGAGTTACTACACCTGAAAAAGACTGCCATCTTGTAAGGGTGGATTCCAAAAATGGTGCCATTTTTTTTTCATGGTCCTTCAAGCCAGATATGAACCAGCGAGATCTGGATCTAAGAAAACATGGCAAACTGCTGCTAATGCTGCATGATTCTCTTTCTTTCATCACTCCTTTCCTCTCTCTCTCTCCCCCCGTCCGTCTCAGAGCCCGTGTTCATTCAGATCCAGCAGATCCCTGACAGCGCAGAGAGGAATGATGACAAACTCTACTTCTTCTTCCGTGAGAAGAGTCTGGATGCAGGGGGAGGGTCCAGCCCCAGTGTCCTGGCCAGAGTGGGGCGAGTGTGTCTGGTGAGAGGGCCTTGCTCGCACCTTGCGGGTTGCCCCGTGAAACTGCGCTACGCCACTGTTCTATAGACTATTTTTAACTCTATTACATTAATTACTCACATATTTATAGTCTGACTGCAACATTATGGACAACATTGTGGATGGGGGAATGATTAAGGGTAAAATAATTAAGTGTCTTCCACTGAAACAGCCTTCCATTACCTCTTCCTTCCTTTACATTACTTCCTTCCCTTCCCTCTTCCCAGAATGATGAGGGGGGTCAGAAGTCCCTGGTGAACAGATGGACCACCTTCCTGAAAGCCCGTCTGGTGTGCTCTGTGATTGGAGAGGATGGGGTGGAGACCTTGTTCGACGAATTGAGTGAGACAGACCTCAATGAAAGATTTAGTGATTTAGATACAGATTTAGAGATCATTAGTTGTCTATGGAACTGAATCCTTCATCTATTCTACAGGAAAATAATTTATGTCTCTTTCGTCATCCTTCAGGGGATGTTTTTATCCAGCCCACGCAAGATGAACGCAACCCTGTGGTCTATGCCCTCTTCACAACTGCTGGGTACGTCATCATTGTATCTGTCTTACATCACCTTTTATAGTTACCCTCTCTCCAATTTCCCTTCTCTCTAAAGGCCTGCCCTGTTCTCGCTCCTCAAGGGTTTTCAACTCTCATCTAGCACCTGTTGGTTTGCCTCTCTCTCCTCCCTCTTCCACTTCACTGGTTGATGCTGACTGCATTCCCCCTCCTCTCTTTTTTTACCTTCTTTCTCTCCCAGCTCTGTGTTCAAGGGCTCAGCAGTCTGTGTGTACTCCATGGCTGACATCCGCAACGTCTTCAATGGACCCTTCTCCCACAAACATGGCCATAACTACCAGTGGACAGCCTACACCGGCAAGATTCCCTACCCTCGCCCTGGCACAGTAGGTTTAGACCATTTACTCACTGAAAACAATCCATATACAGTGGGGGGGAAAAGTATTTAGTCAGCCACCAATTGTGCAAGTTCTCCCACTTAAAAAGATGAGAGAGGCCTGTAGTTTTCATCATAGGTAAACGTCAACTATGACAGACAAAATGAGGAAAAAAATTCCAGAAAATCACATTGTAGGATTTTTAATGAATTTATTTGCAAATTATGGTGGAAAATAAGTATTTGGTCACCTACAAACAAGCAATATTTCTGGCTCTCACAGACCTATAACTTCTTCTTTAAGAGGCTCCTCTGTCCTCCACTCGTTACCTGTATTAATGGCACCTGTTTGAACTTGTTATCAGTATAAAGGACACCTGTCCACAACCTCAAACAGTCACACTCCAAACTCCACTATGGCCAAGACCAAAGAGCTGTCAAAGGACACCAGAAACAAAATTGTAGACCTGCACCAGGCTGGGAAGACTGAATCAGCAATAGGTAAGCAGCTTGGTTTGAAGAAATCAACTGTGGGAGCAATTATTAGGAAATGGAAGACATACAAGACCACTGATAATCTCCCTTGATCTGGGGCTCCACGCAAGATCTCACCCCGTGGGGTCAAAATGATCACAAGAACGGTGAGCAAAAATCCCAGAACCACACTGGGGGACCTAGTGAATGACCTGCAGAGAGCTGGGACTAAAGTAACAAAGACTACCATCAGTAACACACTACGCCGCCAGGGACTCAAATCCTGCAGTGCGAGACGTGTCCCCCTGCTTAAGCCAGTACATGTCCAGGCCCGTCTGAAGTTTGCTAGAGTGCATTTGGATGATCCAGAAGAGGATTGGGAGAATGTCATATGGTCAGATGAAACCAAAATAGAACTTTTTGGTAAAAACTCAACTCGTCGTGTTTGGAGGACAAAGAATGCTGAGTTGCATCCAAAGAACACCATACCTACTGTGAAGCATGGGGGTGGAAACATCATGCTTTGGGTCTGTTTTTCTGCAAAGGGACCAGGACGACTGATCCGTGTAAAGGAAAGAATGAATGGGGCCATGTATCGTGAGATTTTGAGTGAAAACCTCCTTCCATCAGCAAGGGCATTGAAGATGAAACGTGGCTGGGTCTTTCAGCATGACAATGATCCCAAACACACCGCCCAGGCAACGAAGGAGTGGCTTCGTAAGAAGCATTTCAAGGTCCTGGAGTGGCCTAGCTAGTCTCCAGATCTCAACCCCATAGAAAATCATTGGAGGGAGTTGAAAGTCTGGGTTGCCCAGCAACAGCCCCAAAACATCACTGCTCTAGAGGAGATCTGCATGGAGGAATGGGCCAAAATACCAGCAACAGTGTGTGAAAACCTTGTGAAGACTTACAGAAAACGTTTGACCTGTGTCATTGCCAACAAAGGGTATATAACAAAGTATTGAGAAACTTTTGTTATTGACCAAATACTTATTTTCCACCATAATTAGCAAATAAATTCATTAACAATGTGATTTTCTGGATTTTTTTTTCTCATTTTGTCTGTCATAGTTGACGTGTACCTATGATGAAAATTACAGGCCTCTCTCATCTTTTTAAGTGGGAGAACTTGCACAATTGGTGGCTGACTAAATACTTTTTTCCCCCACTGTACATACATCCCATCAACTGTCACCTCTTTCCAATAGTGAAATGCATTGCTTACACTCTCTCTGTCTCTGTCTCTGTATCTTACTCACTATATAATTCCTCTCTTCCTCCTAGTGTCCAGGAGGAACATTCACCCCAGGCATTCGCACCTCTAAGGACTTTTCAGACGAGGCTGTGAACTTCATGCGTGCCCATCCCCTCATGTACCACCCTGTGTACCCTATCCACCGCCGCCCCCTGGTGGTGAGGACCGGCGTGGACTACCGCTTCACAGCCCTGGTGGTGGACCAGGTGGACGCAGTGGACGCCCGATACGAGGTGCTCTTCCTGGGCACAGGTGAGTGTCTCTCTGTCACAGGGCAATAGGCTGACTGAAGGACTTCATTGCATGTTGGAATTTCACATTTGGTTTTTTGTCCAAATTTGACATCAGACCTCTCTTGTTTCAGATCGTGGCACAGTCCAAAAGGTCATAGTTTTGCCCAAGGACCCGAGCACCATGGAGGAGCTCACCCTGGAGGAAGTGGAGGTTTTCAGGGTATGTCTATATGATTATCTAAATATTGTTTACATTATAGCAAAGGTCTCTAACTACTGTCCTTGGACATTCATTCAATGGTTATGCTCTGTTGATCCTGAGGTGAGACATTACATTTAATTACAGACACGTGCTGCGGTCAAAACAATGAAGATATCATCTAAAAGGGTAAGCTGAACTCTCTCTTTCTTAATCAACAGGAAATACTAAAGAGATATTGTTGATACTGAGCTCTTGTTTTCATTCTGTCACTATAGCAACAACTGTACGTGTCATCGGAGGCAGGGCTTACCCAGGTATCTCTGCATCGTTGTGGGGTATATGGGAGGGCCTGCTCCGACTGCTGTCTGGCACGGGACCCTTACTGCGCCTGGGACGGGGAGAGCTGCTCCGCTTTTACCCCCGCCACCAAGAGGTCAGGACCACAACACAAACCCTCATCTGATATTGACAGGGAAGGAGTGTCATAAAGCTTTATTAATCCTATTTTTTTAGTCATTTAGTAGACGCTCTTATCCAGAGCGACTTACAGGAGCAATTAGGGTTAAGTGCCTTGCTCAAGGGCACATCGACAGTTTTTTCACCTAGTCGGCTTGGGGATTAGAACCATTGACCTTTCGGTTACTGGCACAACGCTCTTAACCACTAAGCTACCTGTTGCCCTTTACTGTGTCTGTCTGTCTGAATAAATGTGTGAATGACTGAATTAATTTCTTTACTTGTGAAATGTGTTTGATGAACTCTGCTCTGTCTCTCTCACTCAGGAGGAGCAGAAGACAGGATGTGAAACATGGGGATCCACTGCGACAGTGCAGAGGCTTCAATGCCAAAGGTTAGATAAAACACGATCTTTTATCAGAATTCAGTGACACAATCAAATAATCTAATTTTAATAATATTAATAATAATCTAATAATGCAAATAACTGGCATTTAAAATAATCTGTCCCTCTCTCCCTCTCTCCCTCTCTCCCTCTCTCCCTCTCCCTTCCTCCTTCAGTGGAGAATCGTCCGAGAGAGATAGTCCAGTTTGGTGTGGAGGGGAGCAGTACCTTTCTGGAGTGTCAGCCTCGCTCTCCTCAGGCCACAGTCAAGTGGCTCTATCAGAGGGAAGGAAGGAGGAAAGCGGTAAGGAGGAAAATGCATGCATCTATTTCTGCTCTTTGAAAAGAGACCAGTATTATTAAAATATCAAATTCATACCACATTAATAGGTTACGCTTGAGCTGTTGGAGCAGTTTTCACAAAGGGGATATCCATGTTTGATTGACTGAATAAACATCAGTGAAGTGTTTCCTGTAAATATTAATAGTCAGCCAATGTTATTTCAGTTGGAAGAGGAAGCGAAATATTGACATGACCTTTCAGCGTTATGGATGTCATACAGTGCATTCGGAAAGTATTCAGACCCCTTGACTTTTTCCACATTTTGTTACGTTACAGCCTTATTCTAAAATGGATGAAATACATGTTTTTCCTCATCAATCTACACACAATACCCCATAATGACAAAGCAAAAACTGGTTTTTAGAAATGTTTGCAAATGTATTAAAAATTAAAAAACAGAAATACCTTATTTACATAAGTAATCAGACCCTTTGATATGAGACTCGAAATTGAGCTCAGGTGCATCCTGTTTCCATTGATCATCCTTGAGATGTTTCTACAACCTGATTGGAGTCCACCTGTGGTAACTTCAATTGATTTGGAAAGACACACACCTGTCTATATAAGGTCCCACAGTTGACAGTGCATGTCAGAGCAAAAACCAAGCCATGAGGTCGTAGGAAATGTCCGTAGAGCTCCGAGACAGGACTGTGTCGAGGCACAGATCTGGGGAAGGGTCCCAAAACATTTCTGCAGCATTGAAGGTCCCCAAGAACACAGTGGCCACCATCACAAGAACACATTGGCCACCATCATTCTTAAATGGAAGAAGTTTTGAACCACCAACACTCTCCCTAGAGCTGGCCGCCGGCCAAACCGAGCAATCGGGGTAGAAGGACCTTGGTCAGGGAGGTGACCAAGAACCCGATGGTCACTCTGACAGAGCTACAGAGTTCCTCTGTGGAGATGGGAGAACCTTCCAGAAGGACAACCATCTCTCCAGCACTCCACCAATCAGGCCTTTATGGTAGAGTGGCCAGATGGAAGCCACTCCTCAGTAAAAGGCACATGACAGCCTGGTTGGAGTTTGCCAAAAGGCACCTAAAGAACACTCAGACCATGAGAAACAAGATTCTCTAGTCTGATGAAACCAAGATTGAACTCTTTGGCCTGAATGCAAGTGTCACATCTGGAGGAAACCTGGCACCATCCCTACGGTGAAGCATGGCGGTGGCAGCATCATGCTGTGGGAATGTTCTTCAGCGGCAGGGACTTGGAGACTAGTCAGGATCGAGGGAAAGATGAAAGGAGCAAAGTACAGAGTGATCCTTGATGAGAACCTGCTCCAGAGCGCTCAGGACCTCAGACTTGGGCGAAGGTTCACCTTCCAACAGGACAACGACCCTAAGCACACAGCCAAGACAACGCAGGAGTGGCTTCGGGACAAGTCTCTGAATGTCCTTGAGTGGCCCAGCCAGAGCCCAGACTTGAACCCGATCGAACATCTCTGGAGAGACCTGAAAATAGCTGTGCAGCAATGCTCCCCATCCAACTTGACAGAGCTTGAGAGGATCTGCAGAGAATAATGGGAGAAACAGGTGTGCCAAGCTTGTAGCGTCATAACCAAGAAGACTTGAGGCTGTAATCGCTGCCAAAGGTGCTTCAACAAAGTACTGAGTAAGGGGTCTGAATACTAATGTAAATGTGATATTTCAGTTGTTTGTTTTTAATTAATTTGTCAACATTTCTAAAAGCGTGTTTTTGCTTTGTCATTATGAGTTATTGTGTGTAGATTGATGAGTGTAAAAAAAACAATTTAATCAATTTTAGAATAAGGCTGTAACGTAACAAAATGTGGAAAAAGTCAAGGAGTCTGAATACTTTCTGAATGCGCTGTATATCAAGTGATCATGGAAAATATCCATAGAGCAATAGTCAATCACTTTTGAATGACAAATGAGTCACATGTGGATCTTGTTCTCCCTCTCACTACCATAACACTCTCTCTCCCCCTCACTACCATAACACTCTCTCCCCCCCTCGCCACTCCCTCACTACCATAACACTCTCTCTCCCCTCACTACCATAACACTCTCTCCCCCTCACTACCATAACACTCTTTCTCCCCCTCTCTCTCCCTCTCACTACCATAACACTCTCTCTCCCCTTCACTACCATAACACTGTCTCTCCCCCTCACTACCATAATACTCTCTCTCCCCCTCACTACCATAACACTCTCTCCCCCACTCACTACCATAACACTCTCTCTCCCACTCTCTCTCCCCTTCACTACCATAACACTCTCTCTCCCCCTCACTACCATAACACTCTCTCTCCCCCCTCTCTCTCCCCCTCACTACCATAACACTCTCTCTCCCCCTCACTACCATAACACTCTCTCTCCCCCTCACTACCATAACACTCTCTCTCCCCCTAACTACCATAACACTCTCTCTCCCCCCTACCCCTCAGCTCAACCGGGACAGAGATCTTCTGAAGACGCCCCACGGGATCCTTCTGAAGTCCCTCAGCCAATCGGATGCCGGGCTGTACCACTGCTTGGCCACGGAGAACAACTTCAAACACACGGTGGCCCGGGTGTCACTGCGTATCCTGGACCGAGACATCGTGCTGGCCCTCACCTCCCCTGACAACGACCCCATGACCTCCAACAGCCCTCCCACTGGATGGGGGGGACAACGTGACCCCCAGCAGCAGAGGGTCCCTCCAACCCCCCCTCTCACAGACACCCTGTCCCAGCCGGAGATCAGGCTGATCCACCAGTACTGTCAGTCTTACTGGGAGCAGCTGGGGCTCAAGCAGCAGCAGCCCAAACGCACCTCCAGGAGACACACAGAGAGCCAGGAGCAAGAGCAGGAGGAGCAACAGCCCAAACGCACCTCCAGGAGACACACAGAGAGCCAGGAGCAAGAGCAGGAGGAGCAACAGCCCAAACGCACCTCCAGGAGACACACAGAGAGCCAGGAGACCCAAGGAGGATCGAGGACTGGACTTCCAGCACTAGCCAGCCAGGACACTCCTATGGTAGACTAGAGATCCATGAGTTTCATCTCCCTTTGTACATTGAATGACATGTGATACCGACCCTCACACAACCCAGTATCTCAGTATAGAAATGTAATATATTGATACGTGTATATATCATAGGATCATAATAGATCCTTGGTTTATTAATGTATAATGATTATGATATAAAAAAATATGTATATATAAACATTTGCCTTTGCACGCTTTATTCGGTTGGAAATGTGTAAATTTTGCTGTTCAATGTTGAGAGATAATGTTATGGTGTGATGTACAGTGCCTTGCAAAAGTATTCATCCCCCTTGGTTTTTTTCCTATAATGTTGCTTTACAACCTGTAATTTAAATGGATTTTTATTTGGATTTCATGTAATGGACATACACAAAATAGTCCAAATTGGTGAAGTGAAATGAAAAAAATAACTTGTTTCAAAAAATTCAAAAAAAATAAATAACGGAAAAGTGGTGCATGCATATGTATTCACCCCCTTTGCTTTGAAGCCCCTAAATAAGATCTGGTGCAACCAATTACCTTCAGAAGTCACATAATTAGTTAAATAAAGTCCACCTGTATGCAATCTAAGTGTCACATGATCTGTCACATGATCTCAGTATATATACACCTGTTCTGAAAGGCCCCAGAGTCTGCAACACCACTAAGCAAGGGGCACCACCAAGCAAGCGGCACCATGAAGACCAAGGAGCTCTCCAAACAGGTCAGGGACAAAGTTGTGGAGAAGTACAGATCAGGGTTGGGTTATAAAAAAATATCAGAAACTTTGAACATCCCACGGAACACCATTAAATCCATTATAAAAAAATTGAAAGAATATGGCACCACAACAAACCTGCCAAGAGAGGGCCACCCACCAAAACTCACGGACCAGGTTAGGAGGGCATTAATCAGAGAGGCAACAAAGACACCAAAGATAGCCCTGAAGGAGCTGCAAAGATCCACAGCGGAGATTGGAGTATCTGTCCATAGGACCACTTTAAGCCGTACACTCCACAGAGCTGGGCTTTGCGGAAGAGTGTACAGAAAAAAGCCATTGCTTAAAGAAAAAAATAAGCAAACGCGTTTGGTGTTCGCCAAAAGGCATGTGGGAGACTCCCCAAACATATGGAAGAAGGTACTCTAGTCAGATGAGACTAAAATTGAGCTTTTTGGCCATCAAGGTAAACGCTATGTCTGGCGCAAACCCAACACCTCTCATCACCCCGAGAATACCATCCCCACAGTGAAGCATGGTGGTGGCAGCATCATGCTGTGGGGATGTTTTTCATCGGCAGGGACTGGGAAACTGGTCAGAATTGAAGGAATGATGGATGGCGCTAAATACAGGGAAGTTCTTGAGGGAAACCTGTTTCAGTCTTCCAGAGATTTGAGACTGGGACAGAGGTTCACCTTCCAGCAGGACAATGACCCTAAGCATACTGCTAAAGCAACACTCGAGTGGTTTAAGGGGAAACATTTAAATGTCTTGGAATGGCCTAGTCAAAGCCCAGACCTCAATCCAATTGAGAATCTGTGGTATGACTTAAAGATTGCTGTACACCAGCGGAACCCATCCAACTTGAAGGAGCTGGAGCAGTTTTGCTTTGAAGAATGGGCAAAAATCCCAGTGGCTAGATGTGCCAAGCTTATAGAGACATATCCCAAGAGACTTTCAGCTGTAATTGCTGCAAAAGGTGGCTCTACAAAGTATTGACTTTGGGGGGGGTGAATAGTTATGCACGCTCAAGTTTTCTGTTTTTTTGTCTTATTTCTTGTTTGTTTCACACAAAAAAATATTTTGCATCTTCAAAGTGGTAGGCATGTTGTGTAAATCAAATGATACAACCCCCCAAAAATCAATTTTAATTCCAGGTTGTAAGGCAACAAAATAGGAAAAATGCCAAGGGGGGTGAATCCTTTCGCAATCCACTGTGCATGTCTGTATGTATTTGTCTACTAATACCATATGTGATATTGTAATTGTGGTGACTCTCTTGTTCTCTCTAACACCTTTGTGACCTATGTTTGTTTGAGGACTTATAGCTATACAGTATTCTTTAAATTATTTTGAGCGTTGATGGTGTTGGATTGAGAGGGAAATGAGGGATCTTTCCACAAAACAGATAATATCTACATCATGTGTGTGCATAATCTTTGTATTATATTATAATACTACATTCCAGCGATATCAAATTGTCACTTTTAATGGGAACGGGTATAAAGAAGACTTTGTGAAGAAGACCTCACCATCTTTTCTAATAATATTGAGCAATATACTGTAATGTGTTGTACATATTCAGCATAAGTCCTACACTGGAAATGTTCAAACGATAAATATAAAGATATGTGATCCCATCAAACCTTTCTCTGTCCTACGTTCTGTTGATTTCTCTCACATTTGGGACTTTCACATCATCCTTATCTGTAGCATTCTTCAGGTGTACATCTACATGAGTCACCTTCCAGTCAGCAACTGATACTAAAACACCAACACAAAAGAGATGAACCAGATAAACCAGACTGTGGAGTCCATGGTTACAGAGTGGAAAATAATACAGTAAGGAATGCACTCATCAGTCTTCCCATTCATCATCATCTTCATCATCATACCCTCCTTCTTCTTCACCTTCATCTGAAACAGAAGAGAGTTATGTCTGTTATGCAGATTTGTAATTCTAGATTCATGAGGACGAATCACAATGCATTTGATTTAATTTACACATTTGTAGATGGAATATAATAAATGAATGAATGAGAGATTAGGATGAGAAGGTGTTTACCAGAGGAGTGGATTACTTTACTCCTCTTCTGCATGACCATCATCAGAGCTCCTACGATGCCCTCTGAGTCTGTCTCGGCAGGCGGAGGTGGCTCAGGACTGTCTGGGACCTGGGACACACAAAGGTCAAAGGTCAATGATCATGTAAACTGAAATATATAGACTTCACTCTCATTGACAAAGACAATTTCTGTATTTGAGCAACAAAGTTTAGTTTACGTTTTTGAGCTTCCTCCCCAGGCGGATCTGGTCCAGCAGAGCTCCTCTTTCACCTCCTTCACATCCGCCCCCTCCTCCTGTAGATGCAGGAGCAGGAGGCGGGGGAGGAGGTGGAGGAGGCGCTGGGCCTCCTCGGCTGTGGGCGGATGAAGCAGACGGAGGAGGGGCAGGCATGGAGTGCTGGTAGCCAGGGGAAGGGGGAGGGGGAGGAGAAGTATAGGACACAGAGGGTGGAGGGGGTGGGAGTCCGCCTCGGCCGCTTGGAGGGGGTGGAGGTGGCAGGGCTCCACGTGATAGAGGGAGATGGGAGGGGGGCGGGCCTCGTACTGGCTGTCCTGGGGGAGGGGGCAGGGGGCCAGAGCGACCCCCCCGTGGAGGAGGGGGGGCAGGAGAGGAGGAACAGCTGCCTAGTACGGGGGGTAGAGGACCCAGCCTACCAGGCGGAGGGTGAGGAGGCCCAGGATCTATATGCCATGGGTTGAAAAAATGCCAATTTATTGGATTACAAAAACGGATTGATTTACAGTTAGTTATAAAAAGTGATGAAGTTGGTAACTCTACACCAGTAGGCGGACACTCAGAATGACACTCACCAGTGTTCATGGCCTTTTTGACTGCCTCCATGCCGCCTGAGTTCTCGATGACTTGTTGAATGAGTTGGGAGGTCTCCTCGTCCTTCAGCTCAGCCTCACTGATCCCAGCACAGGACAACAGCTTCTTCAGGTCAGGGTCCAGGTTGTTGGGATCCCAGCCCACATGACTGACGTGTCTGAGGAGGGGAGGGGAGAGGGAGTGGAACATACACCTGAGTGAGTACCTTAGAAAGGTATGAGTGGCAAGCTTGGATTCTATCTTGGTTTGTAAATTAAACAAATTGAGGACAGTGTCATGTAATTACATGTATCTTGATAGCTTATGAAGGCTTTATTTAACTGCCTGCTTATATGTTTGTGCTTAGTATCCACTCACGTGAACCCACTGGGCGCTCCAATGTCTGCTTTGGAGAGTTTGCTGCCCTTCTTCTTGTCCTTTTTTTTGTCCTTCTTTCCCTTACTGACAAAGGCAGGGGCGGGCACAGGTGTGACGGAGCGGTAGCGTGAGGCCTGGATGTCTGGGTTCTGGATGTCTATGGTTGCCATGGAGGGAGAAGTGGGACTCCCAGGTCCTGGATTACAATTGACGTGTACATGTATGAAACACATTGCATGTTTACATATTGGGTCAGTTAGTTATGGTGCCTGAGGTATAACACGTCCAAAGGGATAAGGGATACTCACCTTTACCAGGGGGTGTAGGCAGCCCCCCTCTGTCTGTAAGTAAAACACACAGAATAAGAAAAGGAAAAGGTTTATTTTGTGATTACTTGACTTTATGTTTTTTACCCCATATGTAACTCTGTGTTGTTTTTATTGCACTGCTTCGCTTTATCTTGGCCAGGTCGCAGTTGTAAATGAGAACCTGTTCTCAACTGGCTTACCTGGTTAAATAAAGGTGAAATAAAAAATAAAAAAATAAAAAAAGTGCATCAAAATGTCCATAGTATTCGTATCTCAGTCTTACCATTGGAAAGCAGGGGGCGCTGTTTCTTCTCTGAGACTATGAGAAGGAAAAAAGGAGGGAACAGGAAACCAGAGGATGCCAGTTTAGGTAATGTCTTCTCATCTCCACCACAACCTTTTCCTTTGAAAAGCCACAGCTACCCTCTATGGAACCGCATCTTATAATATCTGTTATGTTTTCCAGTATCAGAGATATATTAGTTCAAATATGACAAACAACAACCACAGCTCACAACAAACAGAATTTAATTGACTACCAAATAACTCAACACAATGTTTCTGTCCTGGATCCTACAACAATGACCTGACCTTGACGGTTTCTCTGGTTTATCTTGTCTTCCACTGCATTTAGGAACGTTTCAGCCTCTTGTTCATTCACAAAGTTCAGCCCCACTTGGCAGTCCTGCATTGTATTGGAGTGAACTATGACATATCTTGGCATACATTTGGAGAATGATAAATAAAAATGGACAATCACTCAACTTTGGATTTACAGTCAAGCCATCATCATGAGTATCCAGTGCATATACATGTTTGCTTACATCTGCAGCAAATGCGTGGAAGAAGGGTCGGGGGCAGTGGTAGACCATTTGGTTATAGAGCTCCTGATCCCAGGTCAGCTGTCCTTTCTGGGAGAAAACAACTGTTAGCATAACTGTAGCATAAACTGACAGTGGCCGATATTTCAACTGAACCTTCAGGCTCTCAGCTCATGGTAAACTCAACAGTGGATCAACAAAGGATCCTTATCTAGACTGGGTTACTATACACACTTTGTGACAACTGCTAAGGTAAAAATGGCTTTATAAATAAATATGATTGATTGATATTCTCCATCATTATAGCTGACGTTACATATTCCTGTTACCTTGACATCGAAGAGGCGAATGAAGTAGGAGCGGCGAACGTTGTCCTTGACGAAGCAGGCCACCCCAGTGTGCTGCAGGCTCCAGCAGGTGGGACTATGTGGCAGGGCCATAAACAGCTGCACTACAGCCGTGGCCAGGGACTACACACACACACACACACACACACACACACACACACACACACACACACACACACACATACACATACACACACATACACACACACATACACACACACACACACACACACACACACACACATACACACACACACACACACACACACACACAGGGTATGGAATTAGTTTATATGTTGGCTTCTGATAAGTGCACATCGGAAAAGTGCAAACTCAAATACTGACTGTACATTATTTTCCTTACTCTAGATAGGCTGTGCTCAGGTTAAGAGCAAACGTTTAGGACAATCGCAAGTCATTGCATTTATCAGGAGTCGACTGTACAGAGCCAAGTTACCTGTGATAAGTGCTTACAAGCTGCTGCTTGGTACTCTGTTGTGGTTCGGAAAATTATTGGGTAGTTGTCATAGCAAAGACCTGCCCCATTAATGTCATCACATTTTCTGTAGTAGGACTTTTTAGATCTTGTGTTTTGTTAGAATTATCAGATACCACTGCAGGCTTAGGACTACCTCAGAAACCAGGAAGTTGGTATGTCAAAAAAAAGCAGACTGCACATACTCATATGTGACTGAGTTTAACTGCTGCCTCTAATTCTGTTCCCAGAGGAAGTGGTTTACACCAGCATTTCCTGTCACAAACTCATGTCTGTTTTAAAGTCATTGCGTAGATACTCTTGGTGTACATGCAAAATGTCAGTTAATTGTTTGAATTTCTAACATTGATTACTTTTAAAGTTACCAAATATCCATATTACATTAAATGCCATTGCCAATGCACTATATTAAACATAGCAGGCCACAGAACGAGTGGTTCATTCAGTCCCTGAACAAGAAAAAGTGAAACAATAATGATGAGGCTGAACTACTGGCGACCAAAAGATTGCCCAATCATATCTTGCTGTAAACACAGAAGTTGTAAAAAACTTTTTGGGCCATGGCCCCATGGGAAATTGACAAACAGGGAAATTGATTAAAGGTTAGAATTCACAGATATACCAGAACAACCTGTAGTTATAGGTGCTACATATTCTCTCAGCTAAGCACTCTCGGCTGGCGAACGCTACCGGTGTTTCCGTGCCTTTAAAGTGCCCTCATAACCCCACACCAACCTGCAGTAACACGCTAACCATATAGTTTCCTATACCAGACACCCAAACACCAACCAAAGACTCTCCTACATACCAAACAATCAAACATCAGTCATATTGTTTCCTACATACCAACCATCCAAACACCAACCAACCAGTTTCCTAGTACCAATCATCCAACCAGATAACTTCCTACATACCAAACATCAACCAGATATACCAATCATCCCCTCCCTCCTTGATTCCCAGGAAGGACTTACAGCACACCTCCTCCCCAGGAGGTCCTCCAGCCTCTCATTCTCCTGTGGGCTCAGCAGAGAGCTGGGACTGTACCCCTGAACTCCTTTAGACTTAGATCCCCGACTCATGGTTCCCTCTCAGAATATCCACTTAGTACCAAAGAGGAGCTGATCATTGATGTGCCAGTCTGTCCTCTTCCTCAAACAGTGACTGTTAGTCAGTAACAAGTTGAGATGACGCAGGTGGTTTCTCTTCTGCCTTCTACAATGTGTTATATGCACACCAAGACTCAAAGCAGGAAATTGACAATTACAGTTTCCCCTCCCTTTTATCTTGCTCATAATGCTGATCATGATTGAATGGTGTTACTTCTATTTCATGGTCTGACTATGAAGTCTCTTTTACAGTTTTTTCCAACTGCTTACACACGTTTTCAAAACTATGTCTCCTTTTTTTCAAAACTCTACACACAATTCCCCAAACTGCACTCAGTTTCCTCTACTTAGACCACACATTTCAATGTGATAGATAATAGAAAAGAGAACAAACCAGATTCAAAACATTTCATTACATGAAACTTTTATTGGACAAATAACAAACAACTACATTTTTAAAAGACCAAAGAAAAAAACACAGACTCCATGTTCTCTTAAAAATGTCGGTCCATAGTTAAATTGACCCCATCTTATACAGGACTCCCCTATTCGGAGTTTCTCTCAGACTTACTCAGAAAAGCCAAGTCTAAAGATAGCAGATGAGATCATGCTACTTCTGCTCTCTGACTGACTAGCGACGCTGAGGTCAGAATTGAGTTTGTGTTGAGTGTGCATTTGTTTGTATGATCACACCAACAGCCCTCTCCATGCCTATTCATGTGCATTCCATGATGACTTGACAGAGTAAATTTGATATATTTTTTGGTATGTACCACATGACAGATAAAAACAATATAAAAGTTTTAAATATCCATTTCAAGTTACTGGATATAGTATAAATACAGTTCACATAAAAGTTTTTAAATTAATCAGTCATGAAGAATTGGGAGGGTTATCCCTTCTGGCATTATCACGGCTGATAGCTGCACTTATAGGAAAATGTCTGACTGTGTTATGCTAACATGAGCTTGGTACCATGGAAAAAACTAACAGGAATGATCAAACCTTAGGATACTCTAGAGTCAATACACCTAGCAATGTGTATGGGTATAGGGCAAAACACTGCACAAATTCTGGATTTGATTTGATTAAAAATAACACACATTCCTTGATGAATAAATGACAATCATAGAGAAAATTACATAACTGTACAATCTTATTTGAAAATAAAAACTTCCCATAAAGAGAAAAAAATCTGCAACATGCCAGAATAATAGATCCATTTAATTTCTTTTTTTTTCTTCATGTGTAAAAATATCTCATTGAAAATTCAAGGGAGGTAGATAAGGAGGGTAATGATGACTTTGGCAATGATGAAGCCATTCATTGGTACACTTATAACATAAATACTATCATTACCCTCAGAACCTGTTGTCTCTGCGACAACTTTATTAGTGCCTCGAAACAACATACTGAAAGCAAACCATAATGTTTGTCACCTCAGAGCTGTTGCTTTGTGTTGCTGGTTCTGTGTTTCCCACCCCATACATGACCTACCACCACATGGAACGTAATGCCATCTTGTGGGGGAATTTTAATGATATATTATTTTCCATGTCCAGCCGAGGCCCTCTCATTTGGCTATGGTTAAATAATGGGCACGTCGTGGGGAATTTGATGTTTGGGAGAGCTTTGGTTGGCATTTTGCTGGTATTACTGTTTATTGTGGTCTGTTGCTAGTGCCCGCCTCCGCTCCGAGACTCTCCGGACACCCAACCAATGATGATGAATGACATACTCATCACCATGAAGACGAAGCCTAACGCAGCAAAACAGGCAGCCTGCAGAGAGAGAGAAAGGGAGGCAAAAAGAGAGGGATGAGAGCAAATTCTCAGACATTGATTAATAAGCTTGACTGTAATTACTGAAGACTATTTACTGCTACATTGCTAAACAAGATGAGACAACAGATTGAGGTTTTACCATCATCTTTGGTATGGATTTTAAAGGCTCTGTTTCTTCAGGAACAATCCTGATGTAGAAGATTCCCGGGAGGATGAAGATTAGGCTGGGTGCAGAGGTCGCCCCTAGGGTGGGAAGGGGGAACAGGTGGACGAAAGGACGAAAGGAGGGAGTGATGAATGTAGGGGTGAAGAGGAGGAGGGATGGGAGAGGTCGAATGTGAATATTTTCAATAAGAACAAAACTATTAGAGGCCATTAAAGTAGTACTCATTTTAGTTTCCACTTTGGATAACAATAGTCCCTGAATCTAAACTAGGTTTGCACTGAAACCACAACCAGTCATTTTACATGTCTCCGTCTTTCTGCACACTTACCAATGACGCCGAAGATGTCTCGAATGGTGGGCACGAAGATGACCAGTAGGTTGACGATGATGAGGAGACACACGGCGATGGAGATGTGGTGAGCCCAGTGGAAGGGCTTCTCAGGGAACAGCAGCTGCAGCAGGGCCCTGCGGATCTGCAGAGGGGGGAGGAGGGACAGAGAGGTGTCACCAGGCCTGCATCACACACCGTGGCTGTGTCCATTTGGGATGCAGACTATGTCTCAGGAGAAGCAGGTCAAATACGTTCTTGAAACCTGTTAGCCAATTAGCGACCTAGAAGGAGGGTCTTGAGGGGTCTAGAGCTTAATTATCCTCATGCTCATACTGCAGTAACTTAAGTGCTTATTTTGTAATAAAGATGAATTCTTGTAACATTACTGGGCCCTTCAAGACAATAGGAGAATACATAAACAAAAGGCTAGCACGCACTCATACTGTTCAGGGCTGCATGACAGATTTGAGTCTCACCGGAAAGAGTACCACAGGGACAGTAAGAGTAACAGCCACCAGCACAGCCATACGCACACACAGGATCAGGGTGTCTAAGGGGTTCACTTTAATGTATGTATGAAGGAGCACTGTCTCTACTCCACCTGAAACACAGAGGAACAGAGAATGGTGGTTATACTTCTAGACACAGATGCCTTAAAAAGGTCATAACCATAAAGATACGTTCATTTACCAGTTCTCCAATTCCTGACTTCTCAATACGGTTGCAACATGGTAACAAAATGAGTGAACAGTCTGAACAAGTACTTCAAAATTCTCATTGCTTCAGGAGCAGTGTCTTACCAAAGAAGGTGAGGTAACCGAAGATAGCGGTTAGCCCGTACATGACGAACATGGCCAGAATGGAGATGTTGGCAACCGTCTGCATGCGTTTCTTGGTGGCGCTAAGGTCAAAGTGGACAGACAGAGATAGATTAGTAGCTGAATTTGGCAGTAACTGTATGTGTGTGAACCATGCAGATATGTGTTGCATCTCTAATCTGAATTGAGTCAAGTCATGACTTACTCTCGTAGCTCTGTGTAGATGGGAAGCACCTCAGGATGGCAGACAAAAGCGAAAGCCAGGATGGGGATGGTATATGCTGTCTGACAACAAAACAGACCACAAATTAAATGGTTAAAAACTACAAACAGAGCTTGCAGCTCATTGGAGTATAATAAACACATACTGTATATTGCCACAACAAATCCTTAACTCCATACAGTATACCATTATCTTATTTAATTTTAAATATAATATCTGACTGTATAATTTGTCTTCCTCTCTGACCTGCATGTTGATGGTGAAGAACTTTGGTTCACAGAAGTCCACATCAGAGGTGCCGTACGCTGGGGAGACGAATGAGTGGTTATCATGACTGGTTATCTTCTCCAGTGGACACGGGATGTTGAACTTCTTATAGATCACCTAGTGGGAGGGACCAACTGACTTTTTAGTCAAGCAAGCACTGTATTGACCATTACAACCATGGGAGTTGGCAAGACAGCACAAACAGATCTGGGACCAGGCTATGTATTGTTGAGTTGGTTGGGAGATTGGTTTGAAGGTTGAAGACAAAGAAGACTCACGGAGATAAGGAAGAAAACCATACAGCAGAGAGAGAAGCCACTGGTGTAGCCCAGGTACCCTGTGAAGTAATGACAAGAACACACTGTGTTAAATAGAGCCATGTCATGTTACTCTGTGCATGTATCATTATCATTACATTATGTTACAAAAAGTATGAAATATGAAAAATGGAGACGAGAGAAATTAGTGATAGAGGAAACATACCAAGATGTCGCATGAGTGAGAGTGGTAAGATGATGATGACGCTTACGGTGATGATCAGGTACTTTCCATCTAAGTACCACTCTCTGACAGACAGCAGGAACATTAGACAACATAGAACAGGTCAACTTTCATAGCAATCTATCAAATAACACTAAAAAAGGACCTGTTTTATAGCCTACATTATGAAATAACAATAACAACTGCCCTCTAGAAACACTTACCCAGTATTTTCCGTCAGGCCCAGAAAGGCCTGCATGACCAACGGGAGCTCAGACTTTACAATGAAGAGGTAGCTGGACATCGCTATGGGAAATGGAAAACAAAACGCGTTTACACACACACAGTATGACGGAAGCATTTTCAATGACACTTGTACTTGCACTTAAGTGAGTACATACAGTACCAGTCAAAAGCTTGGACACACCTACTCATTCCAGGGTTTTTCTTTATTAATATATATTTTTTTGCATTGTACAATAATAGTGAAGACATCAAAACTATGAAATAACACATATAGAATCATGTAGTAACCAGAAAAGTCTTAAACAAATGCTTTGCCTTGATGACAGCTTTGCACACTCTTGGCATTCTCTCAACCAGCTTCATGAGGTAGTCACCTGGAATCCATTTCAATTAACAGGTGTGCCTTCTTAAAAGTTAATTTGTGGAATTTCTTTCCTTCTTAATGTGTTTGAGCCAATCAGTTGTGTTGTGACAAGGTAGGGGTGGTATACAGAAGATAGCCCTATTTGGTAAAAGACCAAGTCCATATTATGGCAAGAACAGCTCAAATAAGCAAAGAGAAATGACAGTCCATCATTACTTTAAGACATGAAGGTCAGTCAATACGGAACATTTCAAGAACGTTGAACGTTTCTTCAAGTGCAGTCGCAAAAACCATCAAGCGCTATGATGAAACTGGCTCTCATGAGGACCGCCACAGGAATGGAAGACCCAGAGTTACCTCTGCTGCAGAGGACAAGTTCATTAGAGTTACCAGCCTCAGAAATTGCAGCCTAAATAAATGCTTCACAGAGTTCAAGTAACAGACACATCTCAACATCAACTGTTCAGAGGAGACTGTGTGAATCAGGCCTTCATGGTCGAATTGCTGCAAAGAAACCACTACTAAAGGACACCAATAAGAAGAAGAGACTTGCTTGGGCCAAGAAACATGAGCAATGGACATCAGACTGGTGGAAATATGTCCTTTGGTCTGATGAGTCCAAATGTGAGATTTTTGGTTCCAACCGCCTTGTCTTTGTGAGATGCACTGTGGGTGAACGGATGATCTCCGCATGTGTATTTCCCACCGTAAAGCAGGGAGGAGGAGGTGTTATGGTGTGGGGGTTCTTTGCTGGTGACACTGTCTGTGGTTTATTTAGAATTCAAGGCACAATTAACCAGCATGGCTACCACAGCATTCTGCAGTGATACGCCATCCCATCTGGTTTGGGCTTAGTGGGACTATCATTTGTTTTTCAACAGGACAATGACCCAACACACCTCCAGGCTGTGTAAGGGCTATTTTACCAAGAAGAAGAGTGATGGAGTGCTGCATCAGATGACCTGGCCTCCAAAATCCCACCAACCTCAACCCAATTGAGATGGTTTGGGATGAGTCGGACCGCAGAGTGAAGGAAAAGCAGCCAACAAGTGCTCAGCATATGCGAGACCTCCTTCAAGACTGTTGGAAAAGCATTCCAGGTGAAGCTGGTTGAGAGAATGCCAAGAGTGTGCAAAGCTGTCATCAAGGCAAAGGGTGGCTATTTGAAGAATCTCAAATATAAAATATATTTTGATTTGTTTAACACTTTTTTGGTTACTACATGATTCCATATGTGTTATTTCATAGTTTGGATGTCTTCACTATTATTCTACAATGTAGAAAATAGTAAAAATAAAGAAAAACTCTGGAATTAGTAGGTGTGTCCAAACTTTTGACTGGTACTGTACATGAGGCTTACATATAATAACATATGCCAATCATGGCCTGACGGTCACATAATATACTGTACCTCCAATGTTGTGCATGGTGATGATGGAGCCAGCCAACACTTTGCCTGGTTGTCCAAAGGCACGGTGCCCTAGCTGCTCATAGGCACGGATGCCTGAAATAACACATACACATGCATGTTAATATTGTCTCTGTGGTTGTTGCTTTCAGGCGAACCATTACATCCTTTAGCCACGTACTGTAGTTCCTTGGACATATTAAGTAATGGTAGGCTATACTACAAATGTTCTTGGTTTCAATAAAGAGATAGGTATCTTGGTGAAATACCAGCATCTTACCTACAACTCCTGCACTTCTCAGGAGGAGGTGGATGGAATAGGCTGACAAAATGGCGATGCATAGCAACAGGATACTGAAAACAAACACACACATCAATCAGAACCCTGATCTCGTAACAGGGTAAAGATCTGTAATTAGTCTAACTAGCTAAATCAACATATCAGTACTACATTTGGCACGGCCTCATCAATGCCTCAGTAGTCTCGCGGTTCTAGACAGCTTAACGGCTGAAGTTAAGGCTAATGACTCAGTAACTCTGCCGCTGACCCAATTTCTCTCGCTGTTGTACTACTACAGTACGCCTAGGTTATATGAATGACCATCACAAGTGTGATTTGTTTGTGATGCAGCTCACTGGCCTGCCAGTCCAATGGACACGCAGGACTGATCCAGGCAGACCTACCGTGGATCTGTTCTTATCACTACAAGCTATTTATAACCACAAATCTGATTTAGGAGAGCATCGTGTGTATGAGCACTAATATACACACACTGATAGGCCAGCCCACATACTCAGACACAGGCAGCGACCGTGAACACACACAAACGGTGACACGGACGCACAACACAGATCAGGCTAAACCGTATCCCTCGATCACCCCTTGTGTGTGCACCCTTGGCTCCACCCATCTAACAAGCATGTGACTAGTAGAGTCAAGTGTTTATACCAGTAAGTGAACAGGTTATACACTCAACAGACTTCTCAATAATGTACACACACACACAGCCAGAAAGTCACACCCACAATAGCCCTACTGTTTTCTTGTAAAACAAACAAACGTTTCCCTTGATGGATCTGCTGGCGAACATTGGGTCTGGTATGGCCTGGAAAGTGTATTCATCATAGTGTCATCCCAGTGTAATGACACTATAAAAATAACCAGTGTCATTCTTTAACCCTATTGGGTATATAGCCTGGACCCAGACACACACACATCGTTCAGCTCAGATCTGTCTGATCTGAGGTCATGGTAGGGCTGTGACATCAAGCCTTAAGGAACCACAGTGATATTGCCAAAGAAGGAGGACTAGTGCGACTTGTGTTGTGTTGGCATGGTAACTTACAGGAAGAGGACGATTCCGGTGTTTGACATAGCGTACGCTAGTCCCAGAATTCCACTACCCATGATGGCATTGCTGAGATTAAAGATGGACATTCCAAATGACGTCTTCCCCTCAAACTATGGCCAAGAAAGAAAGGAAAGAATCACACACACAGAATCGGCTGTAGAACATCTAGTTTTAGTTTACATTTGCTCTTATACCTGTGTAGTAACAATGTAATTACTCTAGTAACAAGAGACTGATTTCCCATGCTCCCACGTTTGACCTTTGAACTAAGGCTGAGCACTCACATCAGTGAACTGAGGTGCTTTTATTCCTGGGCTCTTCCCTGGCAGGAACTCATCCCGCTCTGCTATGAACTCCAGTCCATCAAACCTAGAGAGAAAATAAACACATTTAGAAACAAGAAAGCTCACGTATACAAAGATTAAGGGATAGCAAAATCATATGTTCATTACCCGTCCATTAGCATTGCTGTGAGTAATGAAATGCAGACAGGTAGCCTGTTGATGCACTTTTGTGTTCAGTGTTAGGGTATCTGGTGTAGCAAGAGACTTACCCATCTTCTAAATTGAGCTTATCTGGACCAAGGTCCCTGCTATGTTGCCCGTTCATCTTTTGGAGCTCCATACTTCTCCCTACATCAATGGCTGTGCTGGGGATGATGATCCTGTGGACTAAGCCAAGTCTCAAATGCAACCTATGGAAATAAATATAACTGATGTGTCTGAAGAGGGTTCTAAAGACATTATACTGATGCTGATGATTACACATGGTGCTATCAATCACTAGCCTAATTCTAATAAAAGTAATGTTAAACACTATGTGTTCTTTAAAAGCTAAATAAGATAGTAGGACTAGACTTTGTTAAACATACTCCTGGAGGATAACTGTCTGACAGTCTATATTTGGCTCTTAGAATAAACAAGACGTTGTTGGGTTGTCCAGACAGAAAGTCTGTTGTGGAAAGCAGAGATGTAATGTGGAAAGCATGGTACTGGTGTAATGAGATGAATATAACAGCTGACCTCAGGACAGACCTAATGACTTTAATAAAGTCATGATGACACTGGAGTTAGCCTAAACTCTCCTGACCATGGATGCAGTCACTAGGCTTCACGTGACTAGGTAAAGGAAAGCCACTGGGTTCGGAGAGAAACGCTGGACTGAGAACACAATGAACAATTGTATATTAAAAAGACTTGAGAAAAGGCTAAACATTATCTGTGTTAATTGATTTGAGCTTAATCTGGATAACCTTATTTTCTGCCCTATAATACAGCTTTGTGCTCTGGATGACCATTTAAGATACTTTTTATCCAGAAATGTAATAAAGGCTGCATGAAGGGCTACTCTCAGACTGTTGACCTAGGACAACCAAACACATTTTCTTTATTAACCAATGCGTGTCCACAATATTTAAAACCCATTGACAAGATAAAGGGAAATACTGTTGAAGCATGGGGGGAAATGTAAAGCTATTTAAATCGTATGTGCCAGGAAAGGCTTTAAATAACAAATGTTGTCTAAGGACTTAATGTTGTGCTAATCTTCTCTGGGCAACACAAAGCAAACATGGAGAGTAGTTTCTGTGTTCACAGTTCACACTCCCTAGTCTCACTGCCACTGTGTCTGAGTTCCATCCCAAATGGGACTGTATTCCCTGTAGTGCACTACGTTTGACCAGAGCCCATATAGCTTTGGTAAAAGTAGTGCACAATGTAGTGAATAGGGTGCCATTTGAGACGCAGCACCTAAACTATCAACTCTCGGCTCTCTCTGAGGGTCAAGCTGCCCTCTGACAGCAAACCCATAGGGACTGACTGCTAAGGCACTTCACATGAATCTCATTTGCCTTTCTATACTCCTTACTAATCGTTGAAAAATTCCTATTCACCAGAAACAGAGCACATTACTGGCTGTGGTTCAACAGTAGTAATCTATCAGGAAGGCAAGTATAGGCTGCTGTGAAAAGACAGCCCCATGAGCCTGGTTTCATAGCTTCAGGGAAAACCTTCCCCCAAATGGTGGTCCAAACCAAAATAGCTTCCTAAAGCCAAATGTTTCACTACTCAGGAACCACAATGACCAACCAATAACATAACAAACAAGGCGCTGGATTGGTCTCTAGTGTCTAACCTAAGGGAATGGGCACTTAAAATCAATTGTCTGTCTGTAATTTACTTACCTTAGAGTTTCTCTTTGGCTTTTAGTCAATTTGTAATATTAGCATCAAGATTTTGGGTGGTTCGCCATTGTCATTCAGCTTGTTGTCGTTACTGTTAATAATGAGCTATACAACACTCTCATTTGAAAAGGCAACAGTGAGTTTACTATGGGTTATATACAGTATGCTTTGCATCGTTTTGTGAATGAGAATAACTAGACAGAACTGGATTGCTACCAGTTGGTTTGCTACCAGTTCTGTTTTAGAGGAGTTTTGATCAGGAAAGACAGCATGCCTCCACCCTTCATTGGGTTGAACTCGCCCAAGGACTATAAAATAACCACATCTGAAATAAAGTTGCTTTAACTTACAAACATAGCTCATAACCTATTCCTCTAAATAGCTATTGCCAAAATATGACAATACAGCATATAGTCTAAGTGAAAGGTTGATAAAACAATGGCTGATACTATCAGTTTACTAAGCCTTTATGTCATAGACCTGAGTAGAACAGACCATCAGTGTGTCATGAGCCTCCCAGTCCACCACAGTAGCAGTGCTGTGCTTCAGACTTCCACCACATGGCCCTTGTCTGATGCAAAACCGCCTCTATTGACAGTTACCCTTCCCTTGTTTCAACAGCTCACACACTACTACAACACACTACAACTCACACAGCTACTTACCCAGATAGTGGAGGGGAACTTCTGTTTCCTTTTACCATAGGATGGATATCCTTTTCGAATCCACCACTGTCTGTGTTGTTGATATCCACTGAGGACTTTATTCCCTCTCTAAAGCTCCTTGGGCTGAGGAAGGGAGACAGAGAGAGAGCTTAGGACATACTTGAGAGAGAGAGAGAGAGAGAGAGAGAGAGAGAGAGAGAGAGAGAGAGAGAGAGAGAGAGAGAGAGAGAGAGAGAGAGAGAGAGAGAGAGAGAGAGAGAGAGAGAGAGAGAGAGAGAGAGAGAGAGAGAGAGAGAGAGAGAGAGAGAGAGAGTGAGTCTGATAACACACCTCCCCTCTTTAACCCTTTGTTAAACCTGTCGGTCAGATAATGTTGAGTTACAGTCTGGTTGTGAATGGAATGTAGTGGTATGTCTACATTCAAATAGATCATGTTTAACTTGATGGACGTGAGCAAAACATTTACTGTATGTTTTTCATATTTCTGGTCCCAAACTATGAAACAACCAGGAAGCTAACAGTACAGTCTAATAATGGGTAGCCATCTCCATATCTCCATAGTAATACTATCAAAGTTAGTAGTTAGGGGTGGCTATTTAACATTGCCATTTGAGCTATTCTGAAACAAAACCTGGGTGGTACTGGGTAGACGGGATCAGCGAGGGAGTTGCATCCTGCTCGATTCAAGGCCACAACGCCTTAATTAGCTTAGGCGATAAGTGCATTTTTTTAAGGTTACCTGCATGTGCTTCTGCTTTAAGACTGTAAACATTCCAAACGCTAACATTTTATCATGTGCTTGAACACAGATGGACACCAGTTAGGTCTACATAGACAGAGACAGGCAGTGTTGAACTGAATAAATATAAAATTGTCAAACAATCATTGGGTTCTGCTTGGGATAATCCCCACTCTCATTAAGCCTAATGTTTACACTCATAGAAAGATGTGTAGTAAAAGACATACAAAATGTAGGCCACTAGTTGTTCAAAGGGGGTTTGACCATGTCTATCTATTCTGTCTATGTTCTGGTTTGTTAATAAAGTACAAACTAAGTCAGTTAGATATGAGTTTGGAATGCACACCCCCAACCAACACCTACATCTACCATGACACGTCTTTCTCCAAGAAAGGCTTGAAAGGAAGAAGGTCACAGCTACCACCAACACAAAAAGATGACAGTTTCCATTGACTGAAAATAGTGCTATAGATGGGAAAAGTAGCCATAAGCCTTCCATAACCATAACAAAAATATTTCACTGTTCAGGTCCAGTACATTATGTCCTTGTAGTATTTTACAATTGTAAATTATCCTTCTGAAATTTGACTGACATCACCACTGTATTTCTTAATTGTACTGCAGTGGGCTAAATCAGGGTCACACAAAGTGTTTCTTGGTAGTCTTAAACAAATCTACTTTGAAACAAAGGTATACATCTCACACACATGATTATGGGCTTAAAAAGAAGAAGACACCTGTACCATGTCAGATATAGAGTTAAAATGTCTTCAATTTTGAGTTTGCATCCCAATATTGCACTTTATATACATCACAGAAGACTGAAATATAAGAATATAACAAAACCGTTTGACATACAAACACCAGATTTTCGGCAGGTTGTTTGAAATAATGTTGATTAATTATGAAATTATGAAAACTATTAATAACATTTCACCCATGAGGCCAATAGAGGGAGATTTGGTCATTTGACTGCAGGAAAGGCCTATGACTATTTACATTTAAGTCATTTAGCAGACGCTCTTATCCAGAGTGACTTACAGGAGCAATTAGGGTTAAGTGCCTTGCTCAAGGGCACATCGACAGATTTTTCACCTAGTCGGCTCGGGGATTAGAACCAGCGACCTTTCGGTTTCTGGCACAACACTCTTAACCACAAAGCTACCTGCCGCCCCGGCTATGGCTGGTATTCAATTAAAACTGCATTTTGGTTAACACGCCATGAAGATGAATGACACTGTTATTTCGATTAAATTATGCATGATTTTTCCCATTGCATGTTTGATTGAAGGTCATCTCAGTACTTATAGCCAAATTGAATGTAAAATAAAGAATTACTTGAGTTAATCTCAACACTAAGTTTACAGTATAAATGTAATCTTACTTTTAATCTTACTTACTTTTAAGTACTTTTACTTTGAACCTTACTTTTAAGGTTGTTACTATTGCTACATTCAAAAGTGAAAGTACTGTACATTTCATGACCCACATGGCAGACAGCAGAATGGTGTCAGATAGTAGACAGCAGGATATGTCTTTGTACTCACCTCTCTACTGGTCTGTAACAGACAGACAGGTCTCCTCAAGAGCAGAAAGGTCAGCATCCACCAAGGAAGAATGGCCAATATACTGTAAATGCTTCAGTTGCAGGTAATGCAGCTGCTCATCAAGTTCCAAGTGAAGCTGGTAAGCCAGGGAGTCCTCTTTGGAACTGCATGAGAGGAGATGGGGGGGGGGGGGGAGAGAAAATGCGCGGGAGTTGAAGGAGATACTTCTACTTAGCCACTCCCAGTACTTACAGTAAAGCCTTGAGGTGTTCTGTTCCTTAGCACAATCAAGAGATCATCACTATGAGGAGTACATAATAGGGGAAAGTTCACTCAGGGGGAAAACTATTATCTACAGCAGGTTTTCAAATTCTCTACTACAATAGATACAACGAAAAGACACTGAAGCTCTGTGCCCTAAATATACAGTACCAGTCAAAAGTTTGGACACACCTACTCATTCCAGGGTTTTTCTTTATTTGTACTATTTCTACATTGTAGAATAATAGTGAATACATCTAAACTATGAAATAACACATATGGAATCATGTAGTAACCAAAAAAGTGTTAAACAAATCAAAATATATTTTATATTTGAGATTCTTCAAAATAGCCACCCTTTGCCTTGATGACAGCTTTGCACACTCTTGGCATTCTCTCAACCGGCTTCATGAGGTAGTCACCTGGAATGCATTCCAATTAACAGGTGTGCCTTGTTAAAAGTTAATTTGTGGAATTTCTTTCCTTCTTAATTCGTTACAGGGGGGCGACGGGGACGGCCCGCACAGGACTGCCTTCCAGAACCCCCTCAGTGACCCCTTCCTGGAACATGAGGGGTCTACAATAGGTTCTGAAGCCAGGGCCTCGTCCTTCCCCTTGTTCTGACTACTGACACTGACATTCTCTATGGTGCTGCCAGATGCAAGGACTCCCATACAGACACCCTGGGGATATTCTGTGTCCATGCCTGTAATTGAGGGGACATTTTGTCTTGCAGAATATCCTCCCCTGAGTGTCTGTGGCTGTGATGGGGTCACTTCATTCCTCTCCTGTCCCCTTTCACTCTAACTCCCTGGGGCTTCCCTGGTTGGGGTTTGGGCTTGAAAAAGGCTAACAGGCTGCCTTGAGGCTTTGGGCCAGCCTTTAGTGTCTTACTCTTTTTGGGACAAATGACTACCGCTAACATCCTCTTCTTTCCAGAGCTTGTCCCTGCTCTCAGTGGATTCAGGTCTTGGGTCTCCCCAGCCTCCTGAGATCCTGGTCCCTGCAGGCCTAAGGTTGTTGTTGGTCCACCTTGACCAGGAAGCGTGAGAGTTTCTGCTGTCTGCCAGCGAACTCTGGTAGGTGGCGGGTACAGAGGAGAGGCAGCTTGGAAGGAGGGGGCAGCTGAGTTTCCCCCAGACAGGGCAGTGATCAGACTCCTCCACCTCTGGCCTGATGTCTGCCGCCACAAACCCAATCTTAACCAAGGGATGGTCAGTGAAGATGTAGTCGATGCGTGTGCTATAGTTGGTCTGCCTGGCTCCAGTCATAGTGTTTCAACAGGTGAAAGCCTTGGAACGTGTTGGGTGAAAACGGCAGAAGGTGTCCAAACTTTCCGCTGCGGAGGGGTTTTATTGAGGTTCTCTCAGACTCTTCCTCATCGTTATTCTCTTGTTCAAACTTCCTTTCCTTCACTGTCATCAACGAGGAAAACATTTAGCCATTTCCTCCTTGGGTGATCCTCAAAAATCATCCTATTCAAAGTAAACAGACAGCAGGAGTAACAATATGACAGCTATTAATAAACAGATGTCAAAACGCAAAAGTAAATATAATTATGTCTGTGAATGAGGACATCAAACCATCACCTGAAAGATTTCTGATTACTTCACTTACTATTTCATCTGGGTCACAGTGATCTATGGGCCGGTGGGATGTATTCACATCTTCCAAGACGATATCATGGCTGGGTGGAAGAGTCAGAGAAAACAAAGAAAAATGAGACTTCCAATAAAATTAATTGAGCAAATCTCCTATCAGTTTGTCCTCTTTCATGACACCCACACAACCCAAGTCCCCCTGCATATAGCCTACTCACCTCCCAGCTTCCAAAATGGCTAGAGCCCGATATTGAAGCAGCTTGTAAAACTGCAGTTTGAACATGTCACGCCCTGGCTCTGGGGACTCTAATATGTTGAGCCAGGGTGTGTAAAGTATATGTGTTTTGTTCTAGGTTTCACATTCTAGTATTGTTTGTCTATGTTGGCCAGTGTGGTTCTCAATCAGAGGCAACGTGATTCAGCTGTTGCTTGTTGTCTCTGATTGAGAACCATACTTTAGCAGCCTGTTTCCCCACAGAGTTTGTGGGATCTTGTTTCTAGTTTGGTTTGTGTTAGACCGTGAACTGTCACGTTATCGTTTTGTTTATTTTGTATATCTATCGCCTAATAAAGAGTATGTTTGCCTGCAACGCTGCGCCTTGGTCCTCATCTCTAACCAACGATCGTGACAGAAGATCCCACCAGAACTGGACCAAGCAGCCTAGTGAGGAGCAGAGAGGGTGGACTTGGGAACAGTGGAGGAAGAGCTTCGACTGGGTCAAGCCGAATGAGGAGCTGAATGGCGGGAATTGGAAGCAGAAGAGCGAGAGTTGGGCGAGAACCATAGAGGCCTGGCCCACGGGGAAGAGAGACTCCCAGAAAAATTTTAGGGGGGGGCTCACGACGTCGGGGCAGCAGGAGGCCGCGATAGAGCGGCCCAGCGGGTTGGCAGAGGAGGCCGCCAGGTTACGGGGGCCACTGGTCGAAGAGGGGATGGAAGGTGTAGAGGCACGGCGAGAGGTACTGGGGTGTGTTGCCAGTCCGGTCCGGCCTGTTCCTGATCCCCACGTAGGGCCAGTGGTGTGTGTTCCCAGTACGGTCCGGCCTGTTCCTGCCACTCGCACCAAGTCTACGGTGCGCGTCGCCAGCTCGGTCCGGCCCGCTCCTGCTCCCCGCACCAAGTCAGTGGTGCGCTTCGTCAGCCCGGTCCGGCCCGCTCCTGCTCCCCGCACCAAGTCAGTGGTGCGTTTCGTCAGCCCGGCTCGGCCCGTTCCTGCTCCCCGCACCAAGTCAGTGGTGCGTTTCGTCAGCCCGGTCCGGCCCGCTCCTGCTCCCCGCACCAAGTCAGTGGTGCGTTTCGTCAGCCCGGCTCGGCCCGTTCCTGCTCCCCGCACCAAGTCAGTGGTGCGTTTCGTCAGCCCGGCCCGCACCTGCTCCCCGCACCAAGTCAGTGGTGCGTTTCGTCAGGCCGGCTCGGCCCGCTCCTGCTCCCCACACCAAGCCAGTGGTGTGCGTCGTCAGTCCGGCACGGCCCGTGCCTGTTCCACTGGTGGCTGGTCCGGCACCGGTCAGATGCTTCACGCCGGAGCTAGAGCAATCCGCTCCACCAGTGTGCAGTCCAGTTCCGGCCAGCGGGGCCAGACCGGACCAGGGGTACTTTGGGGGGTTGGAGAGGGAGCGGGGATCAGACCTAGCCACCGTGCTTCTACACCTGCATTACTAGCTGTTTGGGGTTTTAGGCTGGGTTTCTGTACAGCACTTCGAGATATTAGCTGATGTAAGAAGGGCTATATAAAATAAAATTGATTGATTGATTGATTGAGCCGGATCCGCCGCCTAAGCGGAGTGCCCACCCGGTCCCTCCCCTGTGGTATTTGGTGGGCGCGGTCGGAGTCCGCGCCTTTAGGGGGGGGTACTGTCACGCCCTGGCTCTGGGGACTCTAATATGTTGAGCCAGGGTGTGTAAAGTATATGTGTTTTGTTCTAGGTTTCACATTCTAGTATTGTTTGTCTATGTTGGCCAGTGTGGTTCTCAATCAGAGAACGTGATTCAGCTGTTGCTTGTTGTCTCTGATTGAGAACCATACTTTAGCAGCCTGTTTCCCCACAGAGTTTGTGGGATCTTGTTTCTAGTTTGGTTTGTGTTAGACCGTGAACTGTCACGTTATCATTTTGTATATCTATCGCCTAATAAAGAGTGTTTGCCTGCAACGCTGCGCCTTGGTCCTCATCTCTAACCAATGATCGTGACAGAACAGTTTACATTCAGGCTTTTCTGGGTCAGCTCGTGGGATCACCGTAACTGTTTCATGTCAGTCTTCACACCTGTGAAAAAGCAAATGGGCACACAAACAGAAAGAAACAATCAGATCACATGAGAAACACATGACGGCTTTTCAGTACAAGAACAAGTTAACAATTGATACATTCCATGACAATATTTCTGAAAATATAGAAAGTCATGGGACAAATCATATAAAATTATTTTTTCTCCCCTGTGCCGTGTGAGAACAGCCCTTCCCTCATTGTCCAGGACATGCTGCTCCTTACTGGAGAACTCTCCCTGGTCTCCATAGCATTCAATGGTCCTCTTGTGGTTGGTGGTCAGCAGGCCGGTCAGGCCCTCCTCCGCAGCAAATGGGGTGGCACTGTCTTTGCAGTAAGTATCAACTCCTATTTAATAAACAGATTAGGAAGGTACATACAGTGGGGAGAACAAGTATTTGATACACTGCCGATTTTGCAGGTTTTCCTACTTACAAATCATGTAGAGGTCTGTAATTTTTATCATAGGTACACTTCAACTGTGAGAGACGGAATCTAAAACAAAAATCCAGAAAATCACATTGTATGATTTTTAAGTAATTAATTTGCATTTTATTGCGTGACATAAGTATTTGATCACCTACCAACCAGTAAGAATTCCGGCTCTCACAGACCTGTTAGTTTTTCTTTAAGAAGCCCTCCTGTTCTCCACTAATTACCTGTATTAACTGCACCTGTTTGAACTTGTTACCTGTATAAAAGACACCTGTCCACACACTCAATCAAACAGACTCCAACCTCTCCACAATGGCCAAGACCAGAGAGCTGTGTAAGGACATCAGGGATAAAATTGTAGACCTGCACAAGGCTGGGATGGGCTACAGGACAATAGGCAAGCAGCTTGGTGAGAAGGCAACAACTGTTGGCGCAATTATTAGAAAATGGAAGAAGTTCAAGATGACGGTCAATCACCCTCGGTCTAGGGCTCCATGCAAGATCTCACCTCGTGGGGCATCAATGATCATAAGGAAGGTGAGGGATCAGCCCAGAACTACACAGCAGGACCTGGTCAATGACCTGAAGAGAGCTGGGACCACAGTCTCAAAGAAAACCATTAGTAACACACTACGCCGTCATGGATTAAAATCCTGCAGCGCACGCAAGGTCCCCCTGCTCAAGCCAGCGCATGTCCAGGCCCGTCTGAAGTTTGCCAATGACCATCTGGATGATCCAGAGGAGGAATGGGAGAAGGTCATGTGGTCTGATGAGACAAAAATAGAGCTTTTTGGTCTAAACTCCACTCGCCGTGTTTGGAAGAAGAAGAAGGATGAGTACAACCCCAAGAACACCATCCCAACCGTGAAGCATGGAGGTGGAAACATAATTCTTTGGGGATGCTTTTCTGCAAAGGGGACAGGACGACTGCAGCGTATTGAGGGGAGGATGGATGGGGCCATCTATCGCGAGATCTTGGCCAACAACCTCCTTCCCTCAGTAAGAAGCATCTCAAGGTCCTGGAGTGGCCTAGCCAGTCTCCAGACCTGGACCCAATAGAAAATCTTTGGAGGGAGCTGAAAGTCTGTATTGCCCAGCGACAGCCCCGAAACCTGAAGGATCTGGAGAAGGTCTGTATGGAGGAGTGGGCCAAAATCCCTGCTGCAGTGTGTGCAAACCTAGTCAAGACCTACAGGAAACGTATGATCTCTGTAATTGCAAACAAAGGTTTCTGTACCAAATATAAAGTTATGCTTTTCTGATGTATCAAATACTTATGTCATGCAATAAAATGCAAATTAATTACTTAAAAATCATACAATGTGAAATGTTTTGGTACCATTCCCCAGATCTGTGCTTCTACACAATCCTGTCTCGGCGCTCTATGGACAATTCCTTCGATCTTATGGCTTGGTTTTTACTCTGACATGCACTTTCAACTGTGGAACCTTAAATAGACAGGTGTGTGCCTTTCCAAATCATGTCCAATCAATTGAATTTACCACAGGTGGACTCCAATCAAGTTTTAGAAACATCTCATTGATGATCAGTGGAAACAGGATGCTCCTGAGCTCAATTTCAAGTCTCATAGCAAAAAGTATGAATACTTATGTAAATAGGTATTTCTGTTTTTGATTTGTAATACATTTTCTGAAAACCTGTTATCGCTTAGTCATTGTGGGGTATTGTGTGTAGATTGATGAGGATTTTTTACAAATGTAATACATTTTAGAATAAGGCTGTAATGTAACAAAATGTGATAAAAGTGAAGGGGTGGGAATACTTTCCGAATGCACTGTATCTGCAGTAATAGAGAATTGTAGTGTTTATCAAAGTAAAAAAAATAATTTAAAAAAGCCAGACCAGCTCTTGTTGTCAAACTGGCAGGCTGCATTGTATCACCTTTAATACGGACTACTATTTTTGTAGTTCATTATTTTCTTTGTCAAGAATTAGTGATAATGCAACTAATGACCGATGCAATCTATGTCATGGGAACTAATTCAAACAGACGGGCTCACTGTTGGCAGGGGACACAAGGTCACTGTGGCTCGCTCTCTGATATAAAAGAGATTATGTGGGTTTGCCATGTCCGCAGTTTTCTGGAAATATTGGTCTACTTTCAAAACGATGTAGCGGTTGCAAATTTATTGGTTTCGGGTTTTTGGCCTACTTCTAAATCGCACCGCGGCCGCCATGGCAACTTCTTAAAAATATATATTTATTTCACTGTGACCTGCTGCTGCAGACTATCAGGCAGTCTGTTTCTGAGCGAGTAAGTGGTGGGGAGGGGAGGGTGTGTGTGTGTGTTGAGACTGCGCGCTGCAGCCGCTAGCTGAGTCACGTGTGTGAGAGGAGACAGCGCAGCAGGCTTGCACCTCTTTACAACTTTTTACCAATTGTAGGTCGGATATTTAGATTGTCATTATGGAGACACTTATTTCCAACCCTTTTTCCAGAAACATTAACGGGCTAGAACTGATGTGCATCAAGAAATAACGGTGACAAATCACAGGAAAACGACTTTAGTCGCTGTAGAGCGCATTAGAGAAAGTCGCTCGGATGTGGTTTAAACTCTGTCTAATTTGCTTATGGAAAACCATATCAAGCGAAGGGTTTTATGCATGATCAGTTCTTGGGTCTCGAGCGCTCCGCGAGTGGACATTGGAAAAGGAAGTTATGGAACTCCCTTGCGTGCTTCTGTTATGGGGAGAAAAGTCCACAATATAACTGACAATAAATGTGGAGAATGATACATTTGCATATGTTGGCCATCAATTAGCCTGTTAATTTATATGCCTATGTAGGCTACTGTAGTCTACCATTTTATACAATAAATATGTTGAATTGCAAATCAATTTGTGCCACACTAGTGTTGCATACCTGGAGCTTGCAAACAGATTTAATAAATAGCCTATAACTTCAGTTTATTGTTGTTGTATCCTTGTGTTATTATGCAATTATTAATGGGCATGTTTAGCAGTGGTGGGAACAGTACTCAATTGTCATACTTGAGTAAAAGTAAAGATACCTTAATAGAAAATTACTCAAGTAAAAGTGAAAGTCACCCAGTAAAATACTACTTGAGTAAAAGTCTAAAAATATTTGGTTTTAAATATACTGAAGTATCAAAAGTAAACGGAATTGCTAAAATGTACTTAAGTATCAAAAGTCAAAGTATAAACCATTTAACATTCCTTATATTAAGCAAACCAGACGGCACAATTTTCTAGTTTTTTTTATTGACAGATAGCCAGGGCACACTCCAACACTCAGACATAATTGCAAACGTAGCATTTGTGTTTAGTGAGTTCGCCAGATCAGAGGCAGTAGGGATAACCAGGAACCTTCTCTTGCTAAGTGTGTGAATTGGACCATTTTCGTGTCAAAATGTAACGAGTACTCTTCGCTATTCTTGTCGAATGTCAATTTGAACTAAGCAAGCTGCTAAATCGTTACTCTTACATATTGCCTAAGCTACTGTGTAGGCTATCTGCAATTAGATGTAGGCCTATCAGGGGCTTTAGGCTACCTGCATCTAGCTAACCAAACTATGACAAAGTTTAATTACAATCATAAACCCAGGTTTTGGTCAGTAGGCCTAGCCTATGCCTATTGAAATGACAAGTCAATCTCCCAAATAGGCCATTTATAACGGTTTGTAGTCTTAACATCTGGCACATAATAAAGGCACAATTCCCAGAAAATAGCTTAACATTCGTATTTTAAGTTGAAGAAAGGCGAATTATCTTTTCTCTTGCGACATATTCAAACTCCTTTATTAGTCACATTAGCTCACAATAATTATTATTTTGATGGAAAACCGAATTTTGCTTCTTAGGTCGTTAGAAGTTAAATCTAGATTCCTTCTTAATTCGGTTGATAAAGTTATGGAAAAGGGTTTATTGGCTAAATGTGGCAACTCCCATCTTGCAGCGAAACATATATTTTTGGACTAGTTTTCAGGCCTTGTGGGCTGGTTTTTAGTAGCCATTGATCTATACTTTTTTGCTAAACCTTGCAACCCTGGATGAAAACGACTGAATCTGGGTTTGCGTGATCCTGAAGATCAATACTTTGGAAAGTAATGAATGATCCCAACCTGAGTAGCCGCTGCGTCCACGACTGAAGCTGAAATAGGAGTTCTAAACTTCAATAGGAGTTATAAATTTCAACAACAACAGTCCTCCTTTCACAGACAAACACAGAATGACAGATACAGTAGCTTCTGTTATATTGCCAGAGTTCAAATTGAAGCAGAGAAGTGACGTCACGTGTATTGTACAATCACACATTTATGATATTGGTTTATGTTAGATTATCAACCTAGCCTGAGTGCAAGTCTGTTTTTACTATCATGCCAGTCAACTCTTTGTCACTCATTGGCATGCCAAACATGTTTAGCTTGACAAGAGCCTTTTTAATTCCACCTTTGAGTCCTTATGTAATTAATGTTCCAAGTGACAATCTTTAATCATGGTTTTAGAGCACTCGTGACAAACTTTTCACGTTTTTAACATTTTTTGTACAAAATGTGTACGTAATTGAAAATGCAGCCTGAAAAAACGTGCAGACTGGATAACAAGGAAGTAAACCGGAAGTACGTGTATGTATGAAATAAATAAACTTGATATCAAGAAACCCTCAATCAGAAAACGCCCCTAATTGCGGTCTGCAATTACATCCTTCTCGTTATTTTTGACTTTTATTTAACATTTGTTAATTATTCTTGCAACAAAGTAACAATTTATAAAAGTAAAATAATATTGTAAAAAATTAACTATTCTCTGTAGCAATGTAATTCCAAACTAATTCCACATTCCAAACGTTGTTACTCTGGACGTTGCTAGGGGGCAGTCTTTTACTACTCTGTCATAATGGTCTACTACTCCCGTTGCTTCCGCGCGCAATGACTTTCAAAGTGCTCAAGCTAGCAAGCCAAAGAAGAACACATTGGTAGGGAAACCTGGGTGGGTAGCTAACCGTTAGCTAGCTAGTCCAAGCAGAAATTCGACTTGAGGACTGGGAAGTGTCAAATAAACTGAACCCTGCCGGTTAGCTTGATTTCGATATACGATTATGAAATAACGTTGACTTTTGGCGACACAAGTGAATCCATATTGGAGGTGAGTGATTTAGCTAGCTAGCGATGCACTTGACTTGTTTTAGCGCTAGCGGCTGATGATGGCTAGCTATCTATCGTTAAATAGCAAACGTTAATTAGCCAAGCAAGTTAGCTAGTTAGTCTGACCACAGATGGCTAGCTAGCTAGGAGTCTTTGTTTTGACAGTTCTGACAACTAACGTTAGCTACCTAAAGACAACTAGTTAGCTAGCTAACATATAACTAAGACAATGGGAACGTTATAGCGCGCTTGCTAGCTAGCTAAAGTAGTTAACTGTTAGCTAGCTGCGAATCTTCGTGTTGGGTAGAATCAACTCTGCTAACGTGACCTTAGTTAATCCATCTTGAACTAACTAGTTAACTAGTTAGATAACGACTGCTAACTAGCTTAAAAAATGGTTGTCAAGTTAGCCTATCTAACGTTGATTGAATGACACCTGCTAGCCAGCCAATTAGTTAGCTAACGTAACCTAGTGTCTGGGAATTGTAGGTAATTAATTGGACAGACTTGAAATTAATTTGTGACAGCCAGTCTACGTTATAGCAGGAGACTGACTGTAAAAGTGATCTAACGTTAGATGCTGCAACAATTCCCCCGCAGATATGCAGATTTATAAATGTATAAATTATGATAGTTAGCTTCATGCTCAAGTGGGAGAATGTTAGGCTAAAAACTGAGCATGTAAACAAATGCTGTAACATCATTTACAGACGTATCTTAGTAGCTTTTTTATTTACACTCATTGGCCTTTACCCTGACAACAACGATCACAATAAATTGACAGGGGAACCGGTTAAACTCATCTAACCACCTAATCTGACTCTTGATGACTGTGACTGGGCTGACAAATGTATTAGTCTCTTTATTTTAGCTAGTTGTCAGCTGTCAGCATCTCTTGTGAGTCAAATTAAATAATATTGTTTTACCTTGGGTTAGTTAAGTTTTCAACTGTAACATCATTGGTTACTGTTTGTGGCTATGAACAGTATGATGATGCCTAAATGCCCCTGGGCAGTGTGTTTCCTTCCTCCACTCCCACAGTGAACAGTAATGATTCAGTAGGTGTCCCGGTGGAGCATTGGGAGACAGCAGGCAGGAGGACGACAGGATGCTGGAGGTAGAGGAGGCAGGCCCAGCGGGGGAGGAGGGAGATGAGGAGGTGGGGGGCAGTGACCTGAGAGCTGAGGTGGTGAGGCTGAATTTGGAGCTCCAGGAGGCCAACGAGGAGAAATTGCAGGCGGCCCGGTATGGCCTGGTGGTGCTAGAGGAGAGCGCCGAACTGAAGAAGAAGCACACCCAGCTGGAGGAGGAGCACGAGACTCTCAAACAGGAGCTGCAGCAGCTTAAAGAGGTCAGCAGAATCCCAGTAATTATCTCTAGAAAGCAGAAACACTGTAGTAATCATAGTGTACCTTGAAGATAAGCAGGCCAGTAAAATAATAAATGTACAATATAGCTATTATGAACCTTACTTGCACACCTATAGCTACTACTACGTGTGCATGGTGGTGAAATTGTCTGTGATTGAGTTGAGACAAGACCTTTTGTTCATACATTTCTTATGGCTTTGTCTAACACTAACTACTTCAGTGTGAACAAGTGCCAGTCACACATGGCTATGTATTGACCATCCTGGGATTAGCCAAACAATGGGCTTGCTGTTAGGACACACACGCTTTTAGCTCAGTTGTTCTAAACCAATAAATATTCACAATCATAATGTTGCTAGGTAGCTGTTAATCCAGTGTTGCATAGCAAGTTATTCATTGCCTACTGAACATTTGATAGGTTCCTTCAAGATACTCTTATCATGTAGAAGCATGTTACTAGCTTGGCTGAATGACAATTCCCCAAGACTTGAGATGAGGCCTAGTGTTCATATGAATAATTCAGTTTGTGTGATCAGGAGGACCGGTCAGTTTCTGCTTCTGTAGTGTCATAGGATGTTGATGTGTATAGATGTGAGACTGTTTATCTCTACTAGGGATCTGTGATGAAGGGATGAGAACACATTAGTCAGCATATCCATGTTGGAAATGGGAACCGGAATTACACTCAACAAAAATATAAACGCAACATGTAAAGTGTTGGTCCCATGATTCATGAGCTGAAATAAAATATCCCAGAAATGTTCCATATGCACAAAAAACGTATTTCTCTCAAATTTTGCGCACACATTTGTTTACATCCCTGTTAGTGAGCATTTCTTCTTTGCCAAGATAATCCATCCACCTGACAGGTGTGGCATATCAAGAAGCTGATTAAACAGCATTATCATTACAGAGGGACACCTTGTGCTGGGGACAATAAAAGGCCACTCTAAAATGTGCCGTTTTGTCACACAGCACAATGCCACAGATGTCTCAGGTATTGAGGGAGTGTGCAATTGGCATGCTGACTGCAGGAATGTCCACCTGAGCTGTTGCCAGAGAATTTAATGTTCATTTCTGTACCATAATTCAGTCCAACATCGTTTTAGAGAATTTGGCAGTATGTCCAACCTGCCTCCCAACCGCAGACCACGTGTATGCGTCATGTGGGCGAGCGGTTTGCTGATGTCAACTTTGTGAACACAGTGCCCCATGGTGGCGCTGGGGTTATGGAATGGGCAGGCATAAGCAATTTGAATGCGCAGAAATACCGTGATGAGATGAGGCCCATTTCCTTTAAGGTATCTGTGACCCAACAGATGCACGTCTGTATTCCCAGTCATGTGAAATCCATAGGTTATGGCCTAGTGAATTTATTTAAATTGACTGATTTCTTCATATGAACTATAACTCAGTAAAATTGTTGCATGTTGCGTTTTATATTTTTGTTCAGTATAATTCCAACGCTCAGCTGAGCTGCTCTGTCTGATGCAGACAACATTAGACATTAGAGGGGTGAACAGGGCAGGGAAAGATACTTATCAGAGTCAAAACACATCATTATCACTGTATAAAGGTTATTAAGCGGCATTCATATAAAGAAATAATCGAATTAAACTGAAAATATTGTAATTGAACATAGTCACATTTAGGCTAATTGTTTTTGACCACTCATTCCAACTAGGCCCCTAGCCTAGCTTCTAACAGACCCTTCACAAATAGGCCTACCATTCTGTTTTGAATGCTTCAGCAGAGTTTATAGTTACATATAATGCAATGCATTTGAGTAAATACCACATTTTATGTAACTGAATGTTTTGTGCACATTTTAATTTTGTAAATTACATCATGCAACAACAAGACCGAGAACCCAACAAACTGGTGTTCAATTGTGTAAGTTAGTAGACGCTCTTATCCAGAGCGACTTACAGTTATCAGGGTCAGTAGAGGTAACTGAAGTAGGCCTCAAAGGTTTTAGGTTGATTGCTGCTGTGCTCAGAGAGTCTGTCTCCACCTGCACTCCCAGTATCAACCAATTGACTCTGGATGACACCCAAATAAATGCCGCACTTTTTGCTTTGTCTCTGTCTGTGTGTATAACTAGGCTCTGTCAGACTCTGTGACCAGCCACAAGCGTGCAACAGCATATGGGGAGACCCGGGAGGAGTGCCTGCTGGAGGAGACTGCCAGCAAGGAGGCTGCCATGGCAACCAGCATGGCTGAGTTGCAGGCCGAGTTACGGCAGACGCGCCTCGCTCTGGGCAACGCTCACGCTGAGATAGACCGACAGGCCGGCCTCTCCTCTCAGCTAAAGAAGGTATTAATAGTGTGCCTATCATTCACCGACATACGTAATGCTTTACACACCACTATTCACTTAGATATGGAACAATACAACTATTTAGTAGCATTTGTATATCTCTCCATCTAACAGAGAAATGTAGGTCTAAGTTAAATAAGGAAATAGGCTCATTTTACGCTCTAATTCCTGGTAGTCTCTTGTGTGTGTTCAAATGTCAAGAGCAGTGTGCAGTGCTTCGATAACATTGTGTTATTAGTTCAACTGTATACTGAGAGCACGTGTGTGTGTTTCCCAGGAGTGTGAGTGTTCGGAGCTGGAGAAGGGCCACATGAGGCATGAGATGAAGGAGTATAAGGTGCGGGAGGTTCGTCAGCTCCAGGACAACAGTGAGCTGGAGGAGGAGAACACCTGTCTGCAGAAACAGGTGTCTGTACTCAAGGAGAACCAGGTCAGAGCCCCTCCCTTCTCACCACTCGCCACACTGATAATAACACTCAGGTAACACAACAGGGCCTTGTTCAGTAGGGAGAATTGTTTTTGAAACGGGGAAGTAGTAGCTAAACCTGTCCAGTAAAAACACTGCTTTTAGTTTTCCATTGCATAAAGTTTTGCTACAGTGTGCCCTACTGAACACAACCCTGGTCTCCCATCGGCACCTCCAGTACAACAGCCAGTAGTTGGGCCAAAATACTCCTATTCTTCTCAAAAGGCTCATGGAATGCTTACCTCGAATGACTCAGTACCTTGTGTAACCGCTGAAAAATGTACAATATCATAACAAACATTAGGAGTGTGTTCGTTTTTAATGGCCAATAGGGGGTTTCAGATCATTCTGTGGTAGTGCTGAGCGATTAGTGCTTTTTTAGGTCGTTTCTATTATGAGAAAATAATCGTTTTTTTGTTTCGATTATTTTGGTTGAATGCTGTAACACAGAATAAAACAATACATTACCATGATGGTAGTGACTGCCGATTACTGCTTATCACTTATTAACCATTTATTCACATTACTTTACTTGAATAAAATATTTCAGTTGTGTATATTACATTTGTTATATTTAATGACTTTATTATTTCATTCCAAGTCATCATCTCATCTCTATAGAGCTGCTACCTATGCTGTCTGACAAAATTACTACTTTGTAAATAAGGCCTACTTTTGACTGCTGAATATCAACTATCAATCACTTTGATGTATTTTCAGGTAGAGATACCTTGCGAAGCAACATTTGCTCTCTATATCCCTCATGATCGTGCATTCTTGTCTCTTTTGTAGCAGGCGTAAAAGAAACACAGACCGGACAAGTAGATGTGAAATGGATTATGGTCATTGTAGTTAGTTTAGTGCATAAAATGTGGTAATTATGTAGAATAATGGCCTGTTGGAAACTACATCTCCCTACTACATCACATAGTTCAGGCTGGATCTGATCTCTCTAGAGAAACTGTGCAATGTGCGCATTGAGCTCACAGAAATAAAACAAAGAAAATAGAATTCTAATAATTGAACCGACATAGGTCAATTAGTTGTTTAAAAATAACAGAAATGTAGGTTAATCGCTCAGCACTATTCTGTGGTTAGTAGGTTTCGATTCTTCCTGTCCATTTAAGTCTCCGTCTCCTACTGGGTTTAGTATCTGAGGGTGTGTGATGATGATTCTTTCCCAGTGGTTCATGAGTAAGGGATAGCCTTGTCTGGTGTATGTGTGCTGGGTTTGGGTTTGGCTGACAGTGCCTTCCCCTGTCGATCTGCCTGACACAAACACTCATTGTAGGGGAGTCATCTCAGATGGTGGGAGACAATGGCATCTCTCAAGTGGGAAGTCTCAACGAACAATCGGGACCGATTTGATTCTCATCCTGGTCACGCATAAGCATACTGTAAATGTGATGTAAACTCATCTTACTCATTTGTCAGCTTACTCATCAGTTGGCCAAGTAGTGTAGATCAATTATTGAGAAGGTTTTAAAATAATTTACCAACTGCCAGTCCAAAAGTAACAGATGTAGAACATTCCTGTCTGTGATCTATGTTCTAAGGTCAGAGTAATGATCATCTATGTAGTTGACAGTAACACATTCCTAGTTCAGTTGCACCCAACAGACATAAGATTCATTTGTATTGTCCCTTAAGAAAAAAATATCTGGGACGTTCAACACACCACTCCCACAGTGACCCGTAACATACTCCTACTCAGGCCTACACTCTCTGAGTCTCTGTCCTCACATGCTCTCTCTCTCTTGTCCTCTGCAGGTGGAGTTTGAGGCGGTGAAGCTGGAGCTCACCCACAAGGAGGAGCAGGAAGAGGTTCTCCAGGCCCAGCTGGAAGAGGCGGCGCGGCTAAGGGAGATCGCTGAGCGTCAGCTGGACGAGGCCTTGGAGGCCCTCAAGGAGGAGAGGGAACAGAAAAACACCCTGAGGAGGGAGCTCTCGGCCCTGACCCTCAACCCCTTCGACTCGGTCGGCCACATGGAGATGCAGCTAGATGACAGTGGGGACAGTGGAGGGGGCCAGAGGAGCTCTGAGAACCAGGAGCACGAAAAGGATAGTGGTTACAATAACGGCCCGGGGTCTGGTTGCGCTCCTACTAACCCCAAGGCTAATGGGCACGTCCAGCACTTCTCCACACCCAGGAACCGTGATGTGTTCCTGAGGCCTGCGCCTGGCCTGGTGTCTGACCTGCTCAGCGAGTTGCACCTCTCTGACGGACAAAAACTCAAACAGCAACTCATGCAGGTATGCAATGGGATCAAAACCACATACAGTGAGGGAAAAAAGTATTTGATCCCCTGCTGATTTTGTACGTTTGCCCACTGACAAAGACATGATCAGTCTATAATTTTAATGGTATGTTTATTTTTAACAGTGAGAGACAGAATAACAACAAAAAAATCCAGAAAAACGCATGTCAAAATGTTATAAATTGATTTGCATTTTCATGAGGGAAATAAGTATTTGACCCCTCTGCAAAACATGACTTAGTACTTGGTGGCAAAACCCTTGTTGGCAATCAGAGGTCAGACGTTTCTTGTAGTTGGCCACCAGGTTTGCACACATCTCAGGAGGTATTTTTTCCCACTCCTCTTTGCAGATCTTCTCCAAGTCATTAAGGTTTCGAGGCTGACGTTTGGCAACTCGAACCTTCAGCTCCCTCCACAGATTTTCTATGGGATTAAGGTCTGGAGACTGGCTAGGCCACTCCAGGACCTTAATGTGCTTCTTCTTGAGCCACTCCTTTGTTGCCTTGGCCGTGTGTTTTGGGTCATTGTCATGCTGGAATACCCATCCACGACCCATTTTCAATGCCCTGGCTGAGGGAAGGAGGTTCTCACCCAAGATTTGACGGTACATGGCCCCGTCCATCGTCCCTTTGATGCTGTGAAGTTGTCCTGTCCCCTTAGCAGAAAAACACCCCCAAAGCATAATGTTTCCACCTCCATGTTTGACGGTGGGGATGGTGTTCTTGGGGTCATAGGCAGCATTCCTCCTCCTCCAAACCCGGCGAGTTGAGTTGATGCCAAAGAGCTCGATTTTGGTCTCATCTGACCACAACACTTTCACCCAGTTCTCCTCTGAATCATTCAGATGTTCATTGGCAAACTTCAGACGGGCCTGTATATGTGCTTTCTTGAGCAGGGGGACCTTGCGGGCGCTGCAGGATTTCAGTCCTTCACGACGTAGTGTGTTACCAATTGTTTTCTTGGTGACTATGGTCCCAGCTGCCTTGAGATCATTGACAAGATCCTCCCGTGTAGTTCTGGGCTGATTCCTCACCGTTCTCATGATCATTGCAACTCCACGAGGTGAGATCTTGCATGGAGCCCCAGGCCGAGGGAGATTGACAGTTATTTTGTGTTTCTTCCATTTGCGAATAATTGCACCAACTGTTGTCACCTTCTCACCAAGCTGCTTGGCGATGGTCTTGTAGCCCATTCCAGCCTTGTGTAGGTCTATAATCTTGTCCCTGACATCCTTGGAGAACTCTTTGGTCTTGGCCATGGTGGAGAGTTTGGAATCTGATTGATTGCTTCTGTGGACAGGTGTCTTTTATACAGGTAACAAACTGAGATTAGGAGCACTCCCTTTAAGAGTGTGCTCCTAATCTCAGCTCGTTACCTGTATAAAAGACACCTGGGAGCCAGAAATATTTCTGATGGAGAGGGGGTCAAATACTTATTTCCCTCATTAAAATGCAAATCAATTAATAAAATTTTTGACATGCGTTTTTCTGGATTTTTTTGTTGTTATTCTGTCTCACTGTTCAAATAAACCTACCATTAAAATTGTAGACTGATCATTTCTTTGTCAGTGGGCAAACGTACAAAATCAGCAGGGGATCAAATACTTGTTTCCCTCACTGTATGTACTGGTGCATACTGTATGGACTCTAATTCATTTCAAGGAATAATCTATTTGTCTTCTCTTTCAGTAAATAATTATTTGAATGCAAAAATATTGTAACAGAGACGGTCTGTAGACTAGTAGTTACCACGTTTCAATGTATAGATTTAGTTCTCTGATCATCAGTACCTCTTGCCATGGCGGATGTTCTATATACAGTGGGGAGAACAAGTATTTGATACTCTTGCGATTTTGCAGCTTTTCCTACTTACAAAGCATGTAGAGGTCTGTAATTTTTATCATAGGTACACTTCAACTGTGAGAGACGGAATCTAAAACAAAAATCCAGAAAATCACATTGTATGATTTTTAAGTAATTAATTTGCATTTTATTGCATGACATAAGTATTTGATACATCAGAAAAGCAGAACTTAATATTTGGTACAGAAACCTTTGTTAGCAATTACAGAGATCATACGTTTCCTGTAGGTCTTGACCAGGTTTGCACACACTGCAGCAGGGATTTTGGCCCACTCCTCCATAAAGACCTTCTCCAGATCCTTCAGGTTTCGGGGCTGTCGCTCGGCAATACAGACTTTCAGCTCCCTCCAAAGATTTTCTATTGGGTTCAGGTCTGGAGACTGGCTAGGCCACTCCAGGACCTTGAGATGCTTACGGAGCCACTCCTTAGTTGCCCTGGCTGTGTGTTTCGGGTCGTTGTCATGCTGGAAGACCCAGCCACGACCCATCTTCAATGCTCTTACTGAGGGAAGGAGTTTGTTGGCCAAGATCTCGCGATACATGGCCCCATCCATCCTCCCCTCAGTACGGTGCGGTCGTCCTGTCCCCTTTGCAGAAAAGCATCCCCAAAGAATGATGTTTCCACCTCCATGCTTCACGGTTGGGATGGTGTTCTTTGGGTTGTACTCATCCATCTTCTTCCTCCAAACACGGCGAGTGGAGTTTAGACCAAAAAGCTCTATTTTTGTCTCATCAGACCACAATACCTTCTCCCATTCCTCCTCTGGATCATCCAGATGGTCATTGGCAAACTTCAGACGGGCCTGGACATGCGCTGGCTTGAGCAGGGGGACCTTGCGTGCGCTGCAGGATTTTAATCCATGACGGCGTAGTGTGTTACTAATGGTTTTCTTTGAGACTGTGGTCCCAGCTCTCTTCAGGTCATTGACCAGGTCCTGCCGTGTAGTTCTGGACTGATCCCTCACCTTCCTCATGATCATTGATGCCCCACGAGGTGAGATCTTGCATGGAGCCCCAGACCGAGGGTGATTGACCGTCATCTTGAACTTCTTCCATTTTCTAAAAATTGCGCCAACAGTTGTTGCCTTCTCACCAAGCTGCTTGCCTATTGTCATGTAGCCCATCCCAGCCTTGTGCAGGTCTACAATTTTATCCCTGATGTCCTTACACAGCTCTCTGGTCTTGGCCATTGTGGAGAGGTTGGAGTCTGTTTGATTGAGTGTGTGGTCAGGTGTCTTTTATACAGGTAACGAGTTCAAACAGGTGCAGTTAATACAGGTAACGAGTGGAGAACAGGAGGGCTTCTTAAAGAAAAACTAACAGGTCTGTGAGAGCCGGAATTCTTACTGGTTGGTAGGTGATCAAATACTTATGTCATGCAATAAAATGCAAATTAATTACTTAAAAATCATACAATGTGATTTTCTGGATATTTGTTTTAGTTTCCGTCTCTCACAGTTGAAGTGTACCTATGATAAAAATTACAGACCTCTACATGCTTTGTAAGTAGGAAAACCTGCAAAATCGGCAGTGTATCAAATACTTGTTCTCCCCACTGTATAAGTTGTAAAGGTTTCAGTCAGGTAGGTTTTGCATGACTGAGCTGCCCATGTCTCTACTGCTTTCTGCTATAGACCACATCCTGCTACAGATATCATTGGATCACTTAGTGGAACTCTACTGTCAGTAAATGTTTGAAACAGCCTATCAAACACCACATTGCACTTTTCTAGACTTTTATTTAGCTCTACAGTATGCTCTGTCCCAACCCGTACTTTCTTGTCCTATTTCCATTGTGTAAATGTAGCATTTCTAAAGCACTTAGCCGGGGGTTGGTATGCTGCTGCCAGACCCAGCAGATATTAGGAGTACTGAACAAGCATGTTGAGGCTGCGTGTCTCAATTACTGCTCCACGTCATGAATAATACAGAGAGATTGAAGTCACTGGAGGGTGAAATGTGTGTTTACAGTCTGAGAGAACCTCTCCTTTTGTCTCACAGCAAAGATGTATCAACCTGATGAAATGTATTACTGACATCATTTGTCTAGTGTTGAATGTGCTGTTTAGTTCAGCCACCCAGATGTTTGCTACAGTAATCTGGTCATGACGCACTTTGAAATGCCATGGATAATGGAAAATGGCATTTTATGCTTTCTACTATATATTTAGCTATAATGCCTCTTTCAAGCACAGCTGTTTTAGTCTTCTTTTCTGTTTCTCCATGTCTCTTTCCCCAGGCTGAGAGGGAGAAGACTGGTCTGGCCAACACGGTCCAGGACCTCCAGAGGCAGTTGGAGCTGTCTCAGCAGGCCTTCAGTGAGCAGGAGGACAAGGTGGGCTTCCTGACCCAGCAGCTGGAGGCTGTGCAGCTGCAGAAACACATCCTGCCCCAGGAGAAGGCAGCAGGCGATAAGGGGGACGGGAGCACCAGAACCCTGGAGAACGGGGCGGCTGACTACGACTATGAGCTGGACGTGAAGAGCACAGAGGTGCTGGAGGCCCGGATGAAGGCGGCCAGCGAGGAGCTGCTGAAGCTGCGTGGGGAGCTGTCCCAGGCGGGGAAACGTTACTCAGCCCTGGAGCAGCGCTGCCGGCAGGAGAAGGAGAGGTGGAGGGGAGAGGCCCATGAGCTGGCTGAGAAAATCCGCCAGTGCATTAAGTCCAGCCGGCAGGATCAGGAGCGCATCAGCGAGCTGGAGAAGGAGATCGGAGCGACGAGGAAAGTGGCTACTGATTCTGAGGGTCATCTCAGTGTGGCACAGGAGGAGCTGCTGGCCTTCTCTGAGGAGCTGGCCAACCTCTACCACCACATCTGTGTGTGCAACAACCTCACGCCCAAACGCGTCACCCTGGATTACTACCGCGACGGGGCCAGGGTCCAGTCAGGGGGGAGTGGAGGGAAGTCCAACCACCTGCACCCCCACCCCCATCATGGACGTAACAAGCGACGCTCCAATGAGTTGTTTGCGAAAGCAGTGCACGGAGGGGATGGAGACAGTAGGCCTGGTACTCCCCAGGATTCCCGTGACAACTCCCCCTCACCACGCTGCTCCTCCCCCGCCCCAGTCTGCCCCAGCTCCCCCACCATGGACTTCAGGGACCCCTCCAACGTTTGCAATCTGGTGGCTGTCATCCGCTGCCAGATCAAACACCTCCAGGTACGAGTGCCGCCGCCATATTGTCTTCCACTCAACATGCATATTTAATAGCCAGTTCAGTAAGGTCATACAGTGAGGGGAAAAATGTATTTGATCCCCTGCTGATTTTGTACGTTTGCCCACTGACAAAGACATGATCAGTCTATAATTTTAATGGTAGGTTTATTTGAACAGTGAGAGACAGAATAACAACAAAAAAATCCAGAAAAACGCATGTCAAAAATGTTATAAATTGATTTGCATTTTAATGAGGGAAATAAGTATTTGACCCCTCTGGAAAACATGACTTAGTACTTGGTGGCAAAACCCTTGTTGGCAATCCCAGAGGTCAGACGTTTCTTGTAGTTGGCCACCAGGTTTGCACACATCTCAGGACGGATTTTGTTCCACTCCTCTTTGCAGATCTTCTCCAAGTCATTAAGGTTTTGAGGCTGACGTTTGGCAACTCGAACCTTCAGCTCCCTCCACAGATTTTCTATGGGATTAAGGTCTGGAGACTGGCTAGGCCACTCCAGGACCTTAATGTGCTTCTTCTTGAGCCACTCCTTTGTTGCCTTGGCTGTGTGTTTTGTGTCATTGTCATGCTGGAATACCCATCCACGACCCATTTTCAATGCCCTGGCTGAGGGAAGGAGGTTCTCACCCAAGGTTTGACGGTACATGACCCCGTCCATCGTCCCTTTTGATGCTGTGAAGTTGTCCTGTCCCCTTAGCAGAAAAACACCCCCAAAGCATAATGTTTCCACCTCCATGTTTGACGGTGGGGATGGTGTTCTTGGGGCCATAGGCAGCATTCCTCCTCCTCCAAACCCGGCGAGTTGAGTTGATGCCAAAGAGCTCGATTTTGGTCTCATCTGACCACAACACTTTCACCCAGTTCTCCTCTGAATCATTCAGATGTTCATTGGCAAACTTCAGATGGGCCTGTATATGTGCTTTCTTGAGCAGGGGGACCTTGCGGACGTTGCAGGATTTCGGTCCTTCACGGTGTAGTGTGTTACCAATTGTTTTCTTGGTGACTATGGTCCCAGCTGCCTTGAGATCATTGAAAAGATCCTCCTGTGTAGTTCTGGGCTGATTCCTCACCGTTCTCATGATCATTGCAACTCCACGAGGTGAGATCTTGCATGGAGCCCCAGGCCGAGGGAGATTGACAGTTATTTTGTGTTTCTTCCATTTGCGAATAATCACACCAACTGTTGTCACCTTCTCACCAAGCTGCTTGGCGATGGTCTTGTAGCCCATTCCAGCCTTGTGTAGGTCTACAATCTTGTCCCTGACATCCTTGGAGAGCTCTTTGGTCTTGGCCATGGTGGAGAGTTTGGAATCTGATTGATTGATTGCTTCTGTGGACAGGTGTCTTTTATACAGGCAACAAACTGAGATTAGGAGCACTCCCTTTAAGAGTGTGCTCCTAATCTCAGCTCGTTACCTGTTTAAAAGACACCTGGGAGCCAGAAATCTTTCTGATTGAGAGGGGGTCAAATACTTATTTCCCTCATTAAAATGCAAATCAATATAAAACATTCTTTACATGCGTTTTTCTGGATTTTTTTGTTGTTGTGTCTCTCACTGTTCAAATAAACCTACCATTAAAATTATAGACTGATAATTTCTTTGTCAGTGGGCAAATGTACAAAATCAGCAGGGGATCAAATACTTTTTTCCCTCACTGTAATGTGCTGAATTCTGATCCCACAGTACAGAATGTGTTATTTGGCCCCCGAAAGCTTTTAAGCAGCTTGTCTGGCGCTTGGCATTGATCGGGAAGTGGATATCTGTAGACTGTAGAGCGTAGTAGACCACTAAGACCACATATGTAATAATATTTCAATTGTGGTTATTTGTCTTTCCTTATGAGAATCATTGTGGATCATTTTGGCGTCCTTGCTTTATTTCTGTTGATAAACATTGATAAAGGCTGGGACGATAACCAATTCTAACACGTGTTTTGCTGAGTGGTCCATCACTTTAGTGAAAGTAATACCTAATAATGATACTAGCACGATCACTCATCATGGTTGTGTGAACTGCCTGCCCCCCCCCCCCCCCACCAGGTGGCGGTGGACCTGTGTCGCCAGAGGGGTACGTTGCCCTATTCGGGAGGGATCAGCTGTGGAGGGGAGCTGGAAAGCGAGGCCCTCATGGAGGAGGTGCTGAAGCTCAAGTCTCTCCTCAGCACCAAGAGAGAGCAGATCGCCACTCTGAGGACGGTCCTCAAAGCCAACAAACAGGTACAGCATAGCAGACAAATCACGCAATGTGCACGCTAAGTTGAACACGCACACATACACACACGATGCAACCAATCAGACTCCGACTAGGGCTGTTGCGGTGACCGTATTACCGCCACACCTGCGGTCACGATTCATGAAGGCAGTTAAATTCCACATGACCGTTTAGTCACGGTAATTGGGCTTCTCCAAGCTCTGATGCTGCTGCTGGTCATTAGTAGCCTACCAAACTTGCTAACTGCCTGGTACTCAGCACTCTACTGTCCCTCTAATCACTCTGACATCAATGCAAATGTATTCAAATCTAATCAAACACTTCATGAGAGCCCATGAACTCATGTTGCGCAACATTTCTATAGACTATGCAATTGCGGAAGAAAACAGAGTGATTTGCTGCTAAGAAAAAGAGGAGGATCCCATCAGCTTTCTATAGGCTAGGCCTACTATATTTATTTCTCAACTTTCCTAATATTAAGCAATTTGCTTATATTTACAACAGGAGTATAGCCTACCTGGCTGGCATGAAAATAAACCACGGGGAAAAGCGTCCTCCATTCGCTATTTAAGTGCATAGATGACATGTATTTTTTTCCGCTGCCCCTGTTTCGGTACAGGTGCATGATAATGGTCCATTCTAAATAAAAACAAATGTCACACATATTATTTAGTATATGTAAAGAGATTAAATCAAGAATAGTCTGATGGGTGACAATATTAGCCTATCACTTATGAAATATATATTGAATCAAATGTTATGTCACATACACGTGTTTAGCAGATGTTATTGTGGGTGTAGCGAAATGCTTGTGCTTCTAGCTCCGACAGTGCATTAATATCTAACAAGTAATATCTAACAATTTCACAACATTTACCAAATACACACATCTAAGTAAGGAATGGAATTAAGAATATACAGTTGAAGTCGGAAGTTTACATGCACTTTAGCCAAATACATTTAAACTCAGTTTTTCACAATTCCTGACATTTAATCCTAGTAAAAATGCCCTGTCTTAGGTCTGTTAGGATCACCACTTTATTTTAAGAATGTGAAATGTCAGAATAATAGTGTATAGAGTGATTTATTTAATCACATTCCCAGTGGGTCAGAAGTTTACATTTAATTAATTAATATTTGGTAGCATTGCCTTTTAAATTGTTTAACTTGGGTCAAACGTTTCGGGTAGCCTTCCACAAGCTTCCCACAATAAGTTGGGTGAATTTTGGCCCATTCCTCCTGACAGAGCTGGTGTAACTGAGTCAGGTTTGTAGGCCTCCTTGCTCGCACACGCTTTTTCAGTTCTGCCAACAAATGTTCTATAGGATTGAGGTCAGGGCTTTGATGGCCACTCCAATACCTTGACTTTGTTGTCCTTAAGCCATTTTGCCACAACTTTGGAAGTATGCTTGGGGTCATTTGTCCATTCGGAAGACCCATTTGCGACCAAGCTTTAACTTCCTGACTGATGTCTTGAGATGTTGCTTCAATATATATCCAGATACTTTTCCTTCCTCATGAAGTGCACCAGTCCCTCCTGCAGGGAAACACCCCCACAGCATGATGCTGCCACCCCCGTGCTTCACGGTTGGGATGGTGTTCTTCAGCTTGCAAGCTGCCCCCCTTTTCCTCCAAACATAACAATGGTAATTATGGCCAAACAGTTCTATTTTTGTTTCATCAGACCAGAGGACATTTCTCAAAAAAAGTAAGATCTTTGTCCCCATGTGCAGTTGCAAACCGTAGTCTGGCTTTTTTATGGCGGTTTTGGAGCAGTAGCTTCTTCCTTGCTGAGCGGCCTTTCAGGTTATGTCGATATAGGACTCGTTTTACTGTGGATATAGATACATTTGTACCTGTTTTCTCCAGCATCTTCACAAGGTCCTTTGCTGCTGTTCTGAGATTGATTTGCACTTTTCGCACCAAAGTACGTTCATCTCTAGGAGACAGAACGCGTCTCCTTCCTGAGCGGTATGACGGCTGCGTGGTCCAATGGTGTTTATACTTGCGTACTATTGTTTGTACAGATGAACGTGGTACCTTCAGGCGTTTTGAAATTGCTCCCAAGGATGAACCAGACTTGTGGAGGTCTACAATTATTTTTTATTTTTTTTCTTGGCTGATTTCTTTTGATTTTCCCATGATGTCAAGCAAAGAGGCACTGAGTTTGAAGGTAGGCCTTGAAATACATCCACAGGTACACCTCCAATTGACTCAAATGATGTCAATTAGCCTATCAGAAGCTTCTAAAGCCATGACATCATTTTCTGGAATTTCCCAAGCTGTTTAAAGGCACGGTGAATTATACAGTGACTTGTACGTGAAATAATCTGTCTGTAAACAATTGTTGGAAAAATTACTTGTCATGCACAAAGATGTCCTAACCGATTTGCCAAAACTATAGTTTGTTAACAAGGAAGTGGGTGAAAAACAAGTTTTAATGACTCCAACCTAAGTGTATGTAAACTTCCGACTTCAACTGTATATTATCACTTGTGAATGATGCCCAGCATAAGAAACATTGCCTTTTTCTGAGTCGCACACCTCATGTAGCCTAGCCCATAGGCCTATATGTTTTTAATAAGGTTTGTATCATAACTAAAGTGGACAAATAACTTCTTAAAATTAAGCACATTTAATCCGCTTTACAAGGGATTAGCCTAACTGACACATATAAGCAGCGTGTGAGTTTCAATTTTGGGGAAGATAATGTTCACCTTAAAAATGCACCTTTGTAATAAAAGCATTACATGCATAATTGCATCTGCGGTCACTTTTGACAATGGTGTTTTCCGCTAATGGAACATTTGCGCTTATAGCCTACTACTATGTGCGCATTGCTGCGCTTATAATGTGAAGAAATAGCCTAATAGTATATCAACATTTTTTAAGATGATTTGTTGCGTCAGCCACATTGCATAATTTTTTGGGGGGGATTCTAGTGGTTGTATTAATTTGGGATCTATTGCATCCCACAACTGTCCCAGACTATGTTTGTAATATTTATTTCTTGCACAGAATAGAATAGGTTGACTTTTGTACTGTGGGGGATAGTAGATTGACATAGGCTAGTGCTTTTGCTGTTCATTAGGCCTACTCATCTTGTTGGCTGACGAAAAGTAAATGTGGGCAGTTCTTCCAATATCTTCAATATGCACTTCGGAGTTGCGTCCCCGATATGTCTGTCTTAACTTGTAGCCTGTGAGAAAGACCCGATCACGTGACGGAGAGCCGTGTGAGTGAGAGACGCTTCAGATTGTGCAACACACTCAGGGAGAAGGGCATAATGCAGCACTCCGGGCCGCAAAAGGCATGGATTTTTTTAGGGTGCATTACGGCCACAAAGGGGATGTCGCCGTGAAATTCGAGGCATTATCAAGTGCTTGTCAAATTGTGAATGAGAGACTATTGGAGTGTGTACAGCCTGCACAAAAAACAAAGCAGATCTCATGCCTTTCAAGCAACTTTTTTCAAATCGTCATTAGTCTCATCATGCAGCCTTACAATGTATTAAAAATCAAAACAAATATCCCAACGTTTGTAGAACAACTAAAGTTACGTTAATAACCCTAAATTTAGCAAATAGGAGTACCTATTTCTTTGTTAAACGCTCAACACAGAATAGCCGCATGTGCGCACTCCCTCAAATTGTTTGGAGAAAATATGTATATTTTATTCAACTTTGTTCAATTGTATTCTTCATACTATAAAATAATGCCTCGGAATTATAAGCAAATCTTGTCTGCTAAATGAACTAGTGTAACCCATAGCCATTTGGCATAGCCACATCAGGACCTAACATAACGACAACTCAGAGTATGCTATTATTTTCTTCTGCAATAGACTACATTTTCTTCATATCATGCTTCTTTATACCTGTCTAAAATAAATAATGGATTTATTGTGAAGGTGTAGGCAATATTACATGGATTTATTAGACTTTTTAAAATGGCTTGTAGGCTATGTGTGTAGCCAGTAGATGCTAAATGTGTTTGTTAATTAACGGTCAATTACCGTGAGACCGACAGTTATTTGCTTGACAATCACCGGCTGACGAAATTTCGTGACCGCCACAGCCTTATCTCCGACAGGTCACCGTAAATCACTATTAATCTTGAAATCGGTCATCAATGAGCGGTGTCTATTTTAGTGTTGAAAATAAGTTTCATTCCCTGAAGGATTTATTCTTCCATTGAGGGTCTGGCTGACTGACTCTCAGCCTAACCAGTCCATGACCTGTAATCCTCAGACCAAAGTCGGTAGAGAACATTATAACTCGATATCAACAACATTTAATAGGACTTCCTTTGGTCTTTCTCTACTTTTTGGCTTGCTGTGAAGGTTTTCATCCTGTTCCAATTCCTTGGCTTGTCAATAAAGCCTAGGGTATCTGACCCATAGCAACAACAGTAAAGTTTTGATCCTGTTCCAGTTTCAGGGACTGCTGTCTTTCAATAAACCCCTTCTGACTGCTAGCACCACCAGTCTGCCTGGAGGGGATGTTCCTTTGTTCAATTCAGTCTTTAATCTTTTTTTGCGATCAATATTTCCTTTTTCCATGAACAACTGAAATGATATTCCCTAAGAAGAGGGGGAAGGGGTAGGCTAGACGTCATTGGACGGTCGAAGATGGAGAGCTGTAGTAGGAATAACGGTTCCCTGTAGCTCAGTTGGTAGAGCATGGCGCTTGCAACGCCAGGGTTGTGGGTTCGTTTCCCACGGGGGGCCAGTATGAAAATGTATGCACTCACTAACTGTAAGTCGCTCTGGATAAGAGCGTCTGCTAAATGACTAAAATGTAAAATGAGTATGATGACGTCTTCCTCAGAGATCTTCCAGTACACTGCTCCGTCCTCCCATCTACTCTGTATGCCTCCAGACATGGCTGACCTGATTCTGCTGTCAACCCCCTTCTCACTCTCACTTTCTCTCTCACTTGCTCTCACTCACTCGCTCTCTCACATGCAAACACACACACTGTAAGGCTAATCTTCGCTCGTTTAGGGTAGCCGCTCTGTCACGGGTTAGACACTGAATTCAGTTGTCTGG